CGGTGGTGGTGGTGGTGGACGAAGACGTTCAAGAGAAAGAGACAACAGACGTGGCCGATACTAATTTAACACTTTCATTAGCAAACAGACAATTAACGTCAAATTTTCAACCATTTTATAAAACAATTTTCTCAAATTCGTTATTATTTCCACATTAATTATTCATATCCACTTTCACGTCTTATTTCTTTGGAACTTTGATACATTTTCAATTGTGCTTATAATGAAATTAATAAAAAAAGAGGAAAGTGAAAAATTAAATTGTTTATGTAACAGCAGCTGTTGAAACGACGAGGAACCCTTTTTGCACTTCGTAGAAAAAATGACCATTAAATCAAAAATGAGCTTCATCTGCTTATGACTTTATGTGATCGTCGGCGGTTTTCTATTTTACATAAATTCAAATATAAATTTATGGTTGACCATACGTTATGCCGTGTGGTGCTTAAAACCTTTTATTTTACTCCACTTAAATGTGAAAGCTTTTTTCTCATGTGAAGAAGAAACACGGAAGGATGTCGAATGTCGGTAGGGATGGAAGGAAGGAAATAATTACCATTTATGTATTACCAGCCGTCTCCTTTGCATTAAATGACAATGGGGAGAAATATTATGAACGTTACTTGTAAGTTGGTAACGACAAAATTATTGTCACTAAAAGGACGAAAGATTAAAAATTTATTTATTTTTTCTTGTTCACTTCGACATCAAATGATTCAACTTCTTAAAGTAAACTTCCAGGTGTTGATTTTTGTGGAAGGATAAATTTTCCTTTACTCGTCTACAGATGTTTAAGTCTATGTCAGCAAGTAAAATTCCATCTTGACTCTTTGGCAAAGTTTTTGTCATGAATCCCAATGGACATGCTATGTAGCTAGAACCGAAGTAATTGAAGTTTAAGGCATTTGAAAACTTTTCATTCCCAACTCTGTTCGTTGAGACAGTGAAGAACCCGTTGGCAAAGGCAGCATTCCTTCCTTCTACTAACCATAATCTCTCTTCTGAAGATGGATTGAAGACAATCTCAGCTCCTAATCGATTCAACATAAGCCAACATAATGGAAAATGTCTTTCATAACAAATCAGAATTCCAATTCTTCCAAATTCAGTTTCAAACAAGGGACAGTTAAAATCACCAGACGATAGAAAAGAAGCTTCAATTGGTGGCACATGACTTTTCCTGTACTTGCCAACTATTTCTCCAAGACTGTTTATTACAACGGATGTATTGAAAAACTTATCATCGTCAATCTCAAGGATTGTTGATATAATTAACATCTTGAAACTTTTTGATAGCTGAAAGGAAATTGCTTAGAAAATTTTCAAGACTGAAATTTCTTTTCTGAGCTTTTACTGTTTTAATAAAAGTCGTCGTTGGACCTGATTCGATATCTTCTGCAAACTCTTTCCACTGAATATCTTTAGATGAATTGAATGGATAAGGCATGTCTAAGAGTCACTTTAAAGTTTTAGAAAGTAAAGAAATTTAACAAAATAATGAAAACTTACTCCAAAATTCGAAGAGACACAAAATATTGACATTTTCTTCTGAAGCCGCAGAAATTATGTTCGATACTTTTCGGAACATTTCATCACGATGTGCAGAAGGAGGTTGAGAGGTGGGAATGGAGATAGAAGCTTGCAATGCTGCAACTTTTACATGTCTTCTACCAACTAAAGTCACATTTTCGTTCAAGTTATTGAATGAAAAAGATTTCATTATAAAATTGTTGTCATCAGCGATTTTTCTTGCATTTTCTGAAACCATCAACTCGTTTCTATGACAATAAATTATATTAATAAATTTCCTTATGTCTTCTTTTCCTAAATCTTACGCAAAAGCTTCGTTCATCTTTGGTATGAGTCGATATCGTTGGAATACTTGACAACATTTCGTAAGAAAACTTTTGTTCACCTTCGCTATCTTATCAAACTTTATCAGTTATCAACTTTGTCAATAACGCTGAGTTAAGAACTCATTCTACTTTCAATAAGTTTCACGAGGAAAGTATCAACAAGATCATTGTCATTTATTTATGGGTTCTGAGATAGACAAGCGTAACATGATGCTGAATCGTTCATTTCACATAGAGAAGCTTGAATTTAAATTTAAGATTCAATAAATTTTATATGAATTTATTTTATCAAATTAACTTTTTAACTTTCTTCTCTCCCCATCACAAGAAGCTTTATGAAAAATGAATGTGAAACCCAACATGCTTACTTCTTCAAATAAGAAACTTTCCTAAATTATTCGCTCTAAACTTATAAAATTTCCTTGAAGTATCTGAAGGAAAATGCAATGAATTTTTTAATGGTTGCTAAACTTTATCGTCGAACACGAGTGGCAACGATCCATCCATCTGCCAATGCCATTAAAAATATTGTCTCAAGTCCGAGGAAACTTATCCCAAGTTTCATCCACGTTCAAAGGTTCACATTGTTTCCATTTCACGTTTTGTTTATTGACTTTGACTTTTCAACAATTTAGCCTTCCTTCTCCTATTTTTTACATTCGTTCGATTTAACCACTTACTCAATTCATCCTTTATTGTATGCTTCAAGTTACTGTCAAAAGTTTTGAATAAAAGAAACTTTCAAGTTCCACTTCTTTATCTACCTGATTTAGAACGTTAACTTGTATTGTTGGCTCTTCTCCTGCTGTGCAAATCTCAGAACGATGATGGTTCAATTTGTTTTCCATTTTCTGTAGCTCAAAATGTTGACATTTTGATTTCCCATAAGAGACAGTAAAAGAGTTTCATGTATTATGACCATGGGGAATGTGAAACATTCAAGTTGATATAAAGCAGAGAAAAGAAATCATCCGGACTCCATCAACATTGTTGTTCAGAAGCGATTTATAATTTTTTCATGTTTGTCGTCTTTCTCACCCTTTCTCTCTCTCTCTCTCCTTTATTGTTGTTATCTCTTCGTTTTCATCTGAAACGATGAAAGCTTTTGAGTTAACCGTGTGTTCGAGGAAACAATTTATCTTGCCCATCAATTTATTTTCCATTCTAAGTTTAACCTTTTTCTACTCTATTCGAAATGATTCGTTATACGACTGACAGTATTGCAACGCTTCGTAGCAAGTAAGCCGCTGGAGGAAATCAAAAGTTTTCAAGTGAACGGAAAAGTTTTTGTTATTAATCGTGCAAAGGAAATTTGAATCGGGGAAAATCTAAAATAGATATCAAGTTACCTACTATGTCGAACTTGAACGGAAAGAAAACTTTATGATCACTGGAATGAGAAAATGAATGAATTGAATTGAATTCATTTAATATCCTCTGAACTTAAACAATATTTATACTACGATAAGTATCATTGATTGAATTTTTAAGTTTGCTTGAAGATCATAGAATAAGTTTTATCTCAGGTGATAATTCTAAAGGCAATTGTTAAGTTTGTTTGCTTGAACCGAAAATTTTCCTTTAAATAATTTTTCTTTTGTTTTCTCATCTTAATGAAAGTTTGTGATGATTACTTAAGTAAAATTCGCAGCTCCAGGAATCCACAATTTGGCACAAATAAATAACAATTTATCACATTTCCTTCGCCAATATTTAAGACTGAATCGAGCATTAAAAGTTACTTCCTGCTGTTGCTATCAAGCTGAGGGAAATCATTTTTCATAGTCGCCACTGAGTTTTCATTAATGAATAAAAATAAACAAAATTCAATCGGATTTCACTTCCAAATCAGTCTTTGCAACACATGAAAATTTATTATCAATGCAAACTCACACTCAGATTTGCAATCTCATCAAACTCAAATCAAGAGAAAATTTTCAACTCAATCGTTGCAAATCTCATTAAATTCTGCTATGCTTTGTATGTGCCTTCAAGACACTTTGAAGCATCATTGATTGAAAATGAGTAAACTTGAGAGCATCATAGAACTCAACAAGATTGCTGATGATGAGAAATAGTTTCAATCATGCCCAGTTCATCTACGTGACTGTATGGACAACTGGATAAGTTCGCATGTAACAATGAGTGAAAAGCCAAATTAATTTCTCCCTTTGAAAAGAAAAATTATTAATGTAACGTCGATCAGAATTATAAGCAATTATACTGTTAATTAAAATACTTGATATTCATTAAAATTTCCTTTGTTATCGTTAATGAAATCAAGTAATGCCTGGAACGAAAATAAAACCTCTCAATCTTTCAACGCAGCCTCGAAAAGTCTCATCCGTCGATAAAATAATGAAAACTCTTGAAACTTTTATCAAATTTATTTGAAACTAGGTAGACACTCTAAAAATTTCTATGAATATTCTATTCATTATTATAAAATGAAAAGCTTCAGCCAATGATGAAGTATCATCCACTTATTCATCTATTTAAGCTAATCACTTCACTCTCACACAGAAATCTATTTATTTAAAAAGAAAATGAACTGGAAGGAGAGTAGCACACTTGAAAATGAAAGAAGATTATCCTGATGAATGGTTGCATTTATGAATAAAATGTAGAGGAAGAGAATGCTTGAAACTGAACTATTGAGAAAAGCGAAACCCCATTGACTTGCTCTTTCATAACAATTTCATGTGAAAAATGTAAAATCAGATGCAAGAAAAAGTTTCAAGAAAGATTTAACCAGGCGACCACCAGTTGCTGTGATGTGTCATTGAAGTAAGAAGAAGAATTTCAAAGTCCTTAAAAGAAAGAACCTTCGATTTGTTTGTGTTATCAGCCATCTGATGTTTGGAATGTGAAGAAAACTTTGATGGTTCATAGATAAGTTCACAAGGATATTCATGTCGTTATCAAGAATCATAAAACATGTTCACAAATTCTAGTTTTTGAGTCTATAAAATTGTCGAGATTGCCATTAAAAATATATAAAAATAACTTTCTACGTGCTTTATTCTGATAGACAATGATGATCATTAAATATGAAAATTCATTCATTAGATTCATGTTTATTCATTCAATTGTGAATTGTACATACGAGTAAATAAATATACAATGATGCATTTAATTCCACATCCTCTCTTGGAAGATTAATCAATGACAGTTCATTTCACAAAATGTTTCGTTCATTTCGATAACTTTTCCCGTCATCACGTTTCCCTGTCGACATTTCCAAATGTTTTATATTGCATGCAGATAGTAAAAGTTGACAATGTTTCTCGTTTCAAACAGATATGATGGTCAATGCTTCGAAAGCAGCTAAATAAGATAACAGATGCAACACTGCTTAATTAAAATTGGATTGTGAAATCCTTGTGACCTCAACAATGTAAATATAATTAAGTTCATTTGTCAATGTTAAACGAACGAGTTGTTTTTATCTTTCGAATTGTAATATTTCTGTGAAAGTTTTGCAACATTTTTAAATGTTTAACCACAGTAACAATAAGCAACGAAATATTCATTTCAAACTCAATGCAGTTGTTATTTTACTTGTCAGTTCATCAATTTGAAATTTATCTCGATGAACATTTACATCATTTCACTCAAATTCCTTGGGTAAAGTAAAATTACTGATAGAGTTTATTGACACACTTCTGTTCATGTTGGAATGTTCATCATTGAGTAGATATTTCTGATATCTGAATTTATGTCTTAATAATTTTTCCATCCATTGTGTCTGTTGCTTTAAAGTTAACTCAGAATGACTCGATGCATCCAAAATACGATTTTCAAATATTCTGCAGTCTTAAAAATAAGACTGGGGAAAACTTCAATTAATTTTATTTACATTAATACTCTCTCGGTGATTATTCACTCATCAGTTTCATTTTTATATTAGTTTCAGTCATTGCATCGAACTATTTGTTATGAAACTTGAAGAATTGCTCTGGGTTTCCGAACAATCGAAACGAATGTGTCACAATCCTATGATTGATCGTAATTTATGAGAATAATGAAAAGTCTGATGACGTAAGAAAACTGTGGAAATTTTTGATAATTACTTTTGATGTTTCTTACAAGTTTTCGATTACTTAAGGGAATTCGATAAATAAAATGAAAAACGACAGCATCATAATACATAAAGTTGAAAGCATGAAATGAATGATGAAGCAAAAAAGAAGAATTTAATAAGTTTCAAAATGAATAATAAAATATTTCATTATTAAATTAAAAGTAAAAAGAAAAAAGTTTTTAATTTACTTAATTATATAACAGATTGCATCTATTTGGTTAAATAAATTCATGTTTTTCTTTTCCTCCGATAAGTAAATATTAAAACGAAGTTTTTCTTGAGAAAGAAACAATTTAAGAAGTAAGTTCAAAAAAGAAGAAAAGAAATAGAAAAGTTCTTCCGCAACATCTTTTCATTGCTCGTGCTGCATCTAATTTAATATCACGAGATTATTTCACTTCAATGTTGAGAGGAATAAAGAAAGATTACTGAAAAGCTATAATTTCTTGCATTAAGGATTTCATTTTTTCCCTTTTTCCATGCAATAAAACCAGTAGAGTGTTAAGCTAGACGTGAGATGAATTCCTTAGCAATCTCACTTTCAACAACATTTCTTCCCGATTGCAACACTCGGTCAGAGTCAATGTGTTGTGTTGATTAAAGTTTTAATAGAAATTAAACAATTTGAGTATGTTTGGGAAAGTTTCGTGCAAGCTTCTTGGGTGCGATTGTGTAAATTTAATAAATTACAGTTTCGTTAAATTCGAGGCAAAAGTAAAATGTTTTGTGTTACTGGGAACATGAGAAAACAAAGTTTTTATTTTTTTCCCCTTTAAAAGCTGCTTTCTCAGGTACGTTTTTGCTTGGCTTAACAACATCACTTAACAGAACGATTGCAGAAATGAGAGCAACAGAAAACATCATTTTTCTTGACTTTCCCAATAATTCCAAATATCAAAGTTTAAAGAAAATGAAAAGCTTTAAGTTTCATCACGAGCAACTTTAAAAAGGAAAATGAGATCAGGATTTATGTCTTTTCTGGAAACGGCAAAGCAATTTTACCTTCCATTTAAATTGTTTTGTGATAAATTACTCTCGTGTGCAGCTCAGTACAACTGAACAGTTTTTTATGCTGTTCACTTTGTTCGTTTGCTTTTTCTTGTATCCACTTGTTTACGAAATTCTTCGAATGAAAATACTTTGCAAATGAATAAGACGAGTATTTTATAAACATAAATTTTGAGGAAAGCACATTTTCATTTCTTGCATAAACTTTCTTTTATAGAAGCTTTTTTTTCATTCTTTCTTTCTTTCTTTTTAGAGTGAAATTGTTTTGTTAGCTCGGCGCCGTTCGTCAAGTGCATGTCTGAGTATTGAAAGGTCTTAGAAACTTTTCGTATTCTCGACATCACTGTCAATTCTGGTGAAATTCTGTCATATAATTTTCTGTAAGAGAAGAAAAACGTAGAGCAAATTGAAAAACACAATTTGATAATCATATTTTATGTTTATCTGTTTAAACCTCACATGTGCATCTCACGGCACAATGCTTATCCTTTTTCATGATGTGAAATTCTTTCTTCATGTTTTTCTACGGTATAAAAAGGTTTCCTCGTCGCATCATGATAAAGAAGACGAATTTTAAATATTCAAATGATATAACGCAAAAGCTTCTAAACTTTTTCATCAGTTAAAGCAGTAAATGTGAAGAATTTTCCGGAAGAGAATTTTATTGGTCTCTCCCTGTCGTTTTTTATTTAAGTTTCATAATTTTATGTCGGTTGTTATCGTTTCTGATGCAAAGTTTTCACTGAATTTTGATAACTCAATTAATCAACTTTGGGTTTCTTTTAGTTTTCATTCTTCATCTTTGTTGCTAAATGAATTTTCGTTATGTTTCCTTACAAAACAGCAACTAAAGTTCAAATTTCTTCAAAGTTTCCTTCAGTTATATTCACTTTGAAACTATAAAAGAGAGAAAGAAAACTGCTCCAAGATCAAAACTATAAAAACTAGAGACTTGATGAAAAATTGATTCGTGAATGTTCATAAAATTTGCAGAACATGAACGTGAAGCCAATAAATCAGCAATTTAAAATGACCACATCAAGTCTTCTCAAATTGAGGAAAAATTCTTTTAAAATAAAATTTGAGGGGAAAATTTTCTTTCTCAGGAAATTAATTCAATTGATTTTCAATTCATTCATTGTAAGAGACTTTTGAAAAAGTGGGAGGAAATATGATTGCTTTACTGATAAAATTTGCTGAAATTGATTTCTCTCTGTGTCTTGCGTTCTTTCTTTTTCCTGTTATGCTCAATTAAGAATGTATAAATAAATGACATTATAATATTCGATTAAAATTATATCATTTGATAGAAAGGAATATTTAAAGCAAGAAAATTTCCTTATCCCAGTTTCAACATCTTAGAAACAATGACCCAGAAAGATCTTTCTTGAAATTTATTTATTATAAATGTAATTATCCTTAATCATAAAAACTTTATTAAGGTGAAAAAAGTTTCTATCCAATTTCAATCTCTCCGAAGAAAAAGAAACAAGTATTGAAAACCTATGAATTCAACCTAAAAACTGGTTCGAGGAAATTGTTCAACTTTATGACTTTAATGTTCTTCATAAATATAAACTTCCACTTTTCCCAAATAAGGGAAAAGGAAATCGATAACTTTATTAAAAAAATGTGTTTCCCTCTTTTCCTTACCACAAACTTTCCTGCAAATAAATAAAATTTAATTGGTTTTATCTAAAGCTGGTCAAAAGTTAAAGCTTTGAATTGTTTATTCGCTTTAAACATTTTCTACTTCTTCGTCCAAAATTTATTAACTGATATTTAATATTTATTTATGTCTATAAAATTACAAGATGGATTCACGAGAATATACATTAATAAATGTTATGAATAAGAAGTGGAATGTTGATGGTTTGAACTTCAAACTTTGAAAGAGATTTAAGCTTGGATTTCACAAATATGTTTCGTTATCGGATCTTACAAAAAACAAAATTTTCCTAAATGTAACTTCAAACATAATAAACATATTTTGAATGGATTTAATTCCTAAAAAGCTTTCACATAATTTAATCACACAAATCTAAAATAATCCTTCAAAAATTAATCGTTGAAGCATTCAACACAATTGGACAAAATTCTTTTGCAATTACATTAAAAGCTGTTTTTGAATCAGCTTTCAAAGGAATTCCATTAGTTAAACTATGATAAGAATGAACAAAATACGACGGTTTAAGCCTCTCAAGAGTATTTCTCATAACTTCAACGTCTTCTGAAAACAAAAGTTTATAATCCATAAACTCAATCTCGTAACAATTTTGTTGTGTCAGAACTGTGATGTCTGAACATTCGAAAGGCTTTTCAATAGTTTTTTCAGGAAACTCGCACAAACTTCGAGCCACATTCGTAACAACAAGTGGTCCGTTCTTCCCCCAGACAGTTCCGTTATAATTTTTCATAAATTCATTAAAAAAGTTTACTGATTAATATTTAATTGAATTTCAAAAATGTTCCTAAACATTTACGTCAGTAGATTCTCGGTAAACTTATGAGCAATATCTGTTGACTCAAAATGAAATATTGCATTGTTTATAACATGAGGATAATCAGGATGTTTAGTTTCTGCACAAACAAAGTTCTTAACTCCAATAGATTTAAGTGGCACTTGAGAAATGACATCATGATCAAAGTAAGTTCCACTATACCTGCAAGGATGAGAATTTCCAAGAACTTTCATTAATTTTTTTACTTTGTTTAATAAAATTTATTATCTCACTTCCATAGTAACAAAAGTCTCAGGAAATTTGAAACATTGTTGTTGATAAAGCTCGTTTTGAAAAGTTTTCCACTTGCTTACCAATTTTCCGCTATTGTATGCTTTGAGAAGTCGCTCAAGTTCACTCGATAGAATTTAATATTTTTATATTTCATTAACGCCAAAATAGATTCCGACAATTTCAATTTCATTCTTGACAATAAAATCACACAAATATTATAATCGGAATTCATAAGAGCTGCTGATTCAACGGAACAAGCTTGTCTTGTTCTCAAATCTCCTGAATCACTTGCACCATACTCGATACCTGAAGTTTCTATGAAAAAAATATTTTTGAAAGTTGAAGTTTCCAACTCATCGATGCTTCTTAACATGACAGAAGAATCATTCTTAAATCATTCTGATGGCGAAAGAATTTTAAGGACATAATTGTAACAACTATAAAATTAGTGACACAAAATGAAACTGTAGAGAATTTATTTTATTTGATCAACTTTTTTGTTTGATAAAAACGTTGCATATGAGAGTATAAATTTATAAAATTAAATATTAAATAAATATAGCATAGTAAACATCTGTTCAAACAGAAATAGTTATTTTCTGTTATCATCGGTGTTTCAGATTTTTTAAGTTTTGATATTCAAAGTTGGTTGTTCCACTTCATAGTTGCAGTATGTGAATTTAAAGATTCGATAAAAAGATTATGCAATTATGTATTTGAAGGGTAGCTGACATTAGAGTATTTAGGTGTTGTCAACACCAGAATTTATTTTGGAACTCATCATAAGTAAAACAATGAAAAGGATAAAAAAATGTAAAATAAAAATAAATTATTCTGTATTAAGTTGTGTTGGCAATTTTAATGTTTTTTAAGAACAAAATTCCGATTCAACAATGTCTATCTAAATCAAATTTTGTGTCTTGACAAAGTTGAGAAAATTTTGTGAAGATTATAATTTAATTTGAAGAACAATGAGATGTATAAGTTCGTCTCTTGTCAATCGTTGCAATGTTGAGCATACATCTACAACAAAGTTTATCTATTCAAATGACGATAGAGTTGGAAATTTGTTTCCCAAAAGTTTGTTTTATTCTGAAATAGAGTGAATTGCATTCTCGTGAAATCTAATTTTAGAATTTGGCTTTCCTTTTTCTAAAAATTCAATTTAAATGTTTTTAAATAAATATTGTAGAATCTCATGGAAAGTGGCAAATGGCTGGTGTCGGGTGAAATTTTCCTTCTAATCTTATGTAATTAAAAATAAGTTTGAACTTCTTAAATATTTTATTAGTGGGCATCAAAATCATCAAAGTTTCGAAAGTTTTTCTCCTATTTTGGTTATCATCTTCACATTTAGAGGAAAACTTTATCTCACATGCTACCAAAGTTCTCACTTTTTTAAGCTTAAACTAAGTATTCGATAGACAAACTTTTAATTACAAACCTTAAAGGATGAAGTTTCTTAATTAATCATTTTCTTGATATATGGAACGGAATAAAACTCATCAAAATTTAAATCGCCTTTCGTTTCGAATCTCGTTGCGTCTATAACAAAGATATATAAGATCTGATGATGTCGATGAGACAAACTTTTTCGTCTGAATGGAAGCAACGAGGAAACTGTACAGGAAATGCCAACGATCTGGAAATATGATTTTCAAAACATGCATCGTTAAGAAATTTCCAGCTGACTAATCAAGATATATTGTTTATAAACGTCTACAAATCAATAAGTATTCGAAAATATCTCAGATACAAAAACTGAACAATTATGAATCTCTTGTTTGAGAAGGCAAATAAGTAAGAATGCTTCAATTTCATTTTGTTCAATTCATAAATGAGGAACTATCATGAAAACTAAAACTCAAACACCTAAGAATATTCTTAATTATACGCCTTTGAAGCCAATTACGATTCGTTCTACAATGTACATTTGTTATCAAACTCATCAATCATCTTATAAATTGAAAAAATGTGTAGGAAGTGAAAGGAAATATCGAAACTCAAATATTTAATGAAGCTTCCAATTAAAACTTAATTTTTCAATCTATAACAATTTTATCTACAAAATAAAACATTCACACACGAGGCAACTTTCATTTAAATGTTGTATCTGATTTATTATAGAATAACGAGACAGAATTTGAAAGTTAACATTTTTTGACATTTTAGGCATGACATAAATGAATATAAATTGAAAAAAAAAAAATAATTTTTGGCCTACAACATACGCCAGCTTTGTACTTAGTTCGTTGATAAATTTAACGAGATTTCAAAGCTTATGGAGACAGCTTTAATTCCATTTCAACTCGCCTAATGTACATAGGTATGAACGAATTTAATTTGCAGAAATCAATTTAATCATCATAGCAAGAGGGAAAAAAACATTTCTTTAGATTTATCATTGTGTATGATGTAAAAAAAGCGTTTTAGGCTTTCAAAACTCACTTTCATCTTCCTTGTCTCACATTTATTATTATTTTTTTCCCTTTTTATTGCAGTTTGAAAGCTCCATTTTACCGGAAAAATAAGTGTTACAAGCTCTTACATGTGTGATTATGAATTCAATTTCACTTTACCATCGTAACGAATATTGCGGTGGAAGTGAGAAAGACACCGAAGCACATTATCTCGTAATGGCTTTTAAGAGAAAAACTTTATAGCATTTGTTCAGCCTTGACGTTTGCTTATGTTTAGCCAGAAGATTTTTCGGGGACATTTTGTTATGTTTACCAAAACGGTAGCTTTTGGACTCTCCACTTATCGTTATTGTGCAATCATTTGTGAAGGATTTAAACATGCATTTGAAATTCTAAACATGATCTGACAATTTATGGATACAAGTTGTATAATCCAACGACCTTGATCGTACATTTAGGATAAATGAATTGTTTCTAATCTTGTTTTCTCGCTCTTTAAATCTCTTTTTAAAGTTATTGAGTGAACCATTCGATTGTCTGGTCCAACATTTAAATTGGAAAAGCTCAAAGAACATAATTAAAAATTTAATTTATTATAGGGGAAATAAAGTCGTTACTCTTGACACTTATTAATACAAATAAATCAAAAACAAAAAATGAAACATTTCCATTATAAATTTCCGCTAACGGCTTCAAAGACTCAATCAAACCCAAAAAATAAAAATAAAATTTCAGCACGAGTTCTACAAACATAGAAAAAAAATTGTTGAAAGTACTTTGCTGAATGTTTCTAACTCAACATGCTTTATGACACAGCTGGATATTAAAGTTTAATATTATTTGATATGTAAATTACGTGGTAAAGTGGATGCTTCATATTTCATGCTGGGCTACTTACAAATGTAAGCTGAGGCAATTTTTTTCCCAAGCAAATAAGAAATGAAAGCTCGAATTTGGAGAGTCAAATCAAGTTTTGATATTGGGTAAATAAATAAAAATTATTTAATGTTGATTGACTATTTTTGTTAATATGTAGTTAAAACTTTCAGTTGTAAATTTTTAGTAATAGAAAGACGAGAAAGCTTCTTTATGAGTGCTTTTCGATAAAAGCATCTTAAATAACCACATAATTACTTATTTCTCACTGCGCTTAGAATAATATATAAAACATTGCTAACATTAAGGGACTTCAAGGCACTTTCCCTACAGTTCCTCCCATCCATGAAACCAAAAAGTCTGCGAAAGCCAAAAAGTTTTAAAATATTTATGAATTGCTAATTTTCTTTAGCGGTAAAACTCGTGTTTCTTCAAAAATCGCAATGAAAGTTTAAACAAGAAAATGCTTCGTTAGTGCCTTGAGATATAAATTTTTTAATCAACAAATTTTCGTCGAGAATTCATGAGGATTTAAAGTGAGCACCTGATCTCATCTCCTCCAGTTCACAGCAATCAAACAATGTAAGTACTAAGTCAATAATCATGATGTTGTCAGCATAAAAACAAGACTTATTTTTTACTCTTTACAGCTTCTGCTGATTATTTGTTTGCCTTCTGTTGTTACATTTCTCAGAGTCTTTCAAATTAGAATATTTTGAATTTTCAACTTTGTTTTGTGTTTGAGTTTTGACTTCTAACGAGCGAGAGGCGGAAAATAATTTTTTTTCTTGTTAGAAAGTAATTTACGCAAGAGTTTTCTTAATTTTTATGATGATTTTAATATTTAGAATTAGATAGGTGGATAGATTTGGCATGACGATGATAATAACAACACAAATTCAATTGAAATTTGATATGAAGTTACAAACAATTCAATTTTAATTGAGATAAACAAAATTAATTTAGTGAAAAACAGCACGAATTGAAGATTTTCAGTCTAAGTATGAATAAAAGAAAGAATTGCTATGCCACCTTAAATAACTTAAATAAATATTGTTATCTTAATGAATATCTTACTACGACTCGGCTTTTGTCTTACTTCATTAAATGTACTGTAGGCATGGAATGCTTCTTACTTTCCTGACTTCAACTCAACTATTTCTGGGATATTTCAATAAATAAAAAAGGAAAAATGTAACTACGAAAAATTTCAAGGAAAATGTCGAATAATTCATTATGTAAATCTCTTTAATAAATATTTCTTGCTTTCTTTTTTTATTGTTTTCACTCGTATTCGGAGATTTTGTGCTTAATAATTTTCACTCAAATTAAATGTTTGATTACACTCATAACATCACATTTAACTACGATAAAAAGGATTGGCTTATGTTTATTGACGTGAGTTGGTAGGCGCTACAACTTTCGCAATGCTGATTTCTGCTTACAATTTTCAACTTGCAAGCATGGCTTTTTTTACATTCTCATCGTCGTCGTTGGTTTGAAGCGCTGGTCATTTTTATGGTTCCATAACACGCACATTCAATCGAATCGCGTTGGTTGAAAAATGAGCAGAAAACACGCTGAACACTTGTACCACAAAATGTTAGAAATCAGATGAAAAATGTGAATTAATTTGCCTAATTTCAGTCACAAATTCTTCGACGTTTCAATCGCTAAGTAAGCTGCTAAATGAATGTCGCTCATGATTGCAGACAGAAGTGATTAGAATTCGGGCGAGCTTTCTCTTAATTTGTTGATTTGTAGTTTTATCGTTCTGACTATTTTTGATTATGTTGATAATGTAATAAGTTAGGACAGTCGTTTATTTGATGACTTCGTTCTTTTTAATGATGTTTTCATTAATCGTTCTTAACATATTTTATTTTCATAATGTGATGTTTTGCGCTACGTTGAATCAATAATAAATTTATGAGTAAGCTGTCATTGTTGCTTACATCAGCCGAAATTATTAATTATTCGGTAATAATTTAAAACAAATGAATTTTAATGACGACATTATGTGCAGCTATTGCATCTCCAATTGTGCAATCAAAATATTTTTGTCTCGACATACCGACGAATTAAAAACTGATCTATTTGTATCCGCAATGGAAGAAATATGAGTTAATTTAATGAAGTTTGTTTAATATTATAAAATAAACATTGAAGTTCATCAAATTATATTTCTGATATTGAAAATTAAAACATGAAAGGCGATAATGTGATAATCAGTTTAACAGCTCACAATATCTAATAGAGTTGAAGTCACGTTCACGGACATCATAACCATTAATATCCATCATAAAATGCTGACGGATGTTGACTATGAAAAGTCGGTTAAATTCCTTTTTCTCGTTAATTTTTTTATTTATTTATCAATATTTACAAAGAAAAAAGCAAATAAAAGAAAATTCATTTGACCTTTTCATTTAGATATAAATAAAAATTTGCTTAAAAAGATTACTTTACAAAATCTGAATTCAATGTGGATTCCTTTTCCTTTAATATGTTTGTTATGAAGATATCAAGAACAAAGAATGAAAATTCCACAGCCTCCGACATTCTAACAAGGACATTCAGGTCATTGAGGCTATAAAAAATGATGACAATAAAATTAAACGGACGTCATAATGCTTTCAACTTCAATAAATATGAGAAAGGATAATGGCATTTCTCAGTTTGAATTCAAATATTTAGTTTCCTACTGGTTGAGTCATTTGAATAATATGCCGACAGGGAATGAATTGAAACTTCTCTATCACTTTAAAAGAAATAAAGGTTTAAGCTTCACTGATGTGAAAGCTTCTTTTAGAATCTTACACTTTAAGCAATGTTGAAAGAACTTCCACTTTTCATAAAGAGAAATGTCGAGGTATTTTAATTAATGATCTCCATAAAATTAAGAAAGGACGTGCAATGACGAAAAAATGAAAATCATTTTCTCTCTCCACATTTTTAAAATTAATTTAATTTTAGTGTTAAAATTCTTATTTCGAAAAGGTAAAGCATTAAAACGTATTGACATCATAAATAATTTCATCAAGGTCTGAATGTTTATGTTTTACTTTGAGTAAACATTTATATTTATGTTGTTTATGCTTATTGCCTTTGCATTTATTATGTATCAAAGACAAATATTTTGATAAATTAGAATTGGTGATATTTATGTTGTGAGTAGAAAATTCTTTTATCGAACCCAATAACAAAATGAAACTAAATTTTGTGCATCAAACAGATGTGTTTATGCTCATACCAAAGCCCTTTTTAGATGTTTTAGATCGTGCGTTACTAATGGATGAGATGATGTATTCTCCAAGGGATATTATACCTTCACTTAACACAGCATTTTATCAATCATTTAACAAAATGCATTAATGAACATTACGGCTTCAGTGCAGAAATTATTCAATGTTGCGTAATGCTTAAGATGATTAAAAATGTGACCGCCCTCCGTTATAGGGACGAATTTTCAAGGTAACCTTCGTATTCACAAGCGATACGACTCATTTACTTTTAATTTATTTTATTACGTTGCGTAAGACTTAAGAATAAAAGTGTGAAAAGTTTCACAGAATTTGTAACAGTAATAAGAGCGACATCTCGACCATTAAGGAAATTAAAACTTGAGAACGATATCGCAAATATTGTCGACTTTTTAAACCCCTCTTTAGAATGTAGCAATTCTCAAGAGTCATTAAACTTTTAGACGTACGCTTATGACACGTGTCGTTCAACTTTGCATATCAAATTGTGATGCATAATTAGAATATTTTAAGCAGCTCACACAACATTTGCCATCAGACATATTGTAATTTAACATAATCTCGAATAATATTATTCCAAAATTTCACTTGATTCTGTCGTTGTTTTAAGGTTGATTTATATTTTCGTGCTCGTTGAGCGCATCATTATAGTTGAATTGTTTACAGATATGCATGTTGTTAAAGATTTGATAAGATTGAAAATAAGAGTGTGATGTCAAACGTTTCAACTTTCTTCGTTCTCATGTTCAAAGATTTTCAGATTATTTTATCTTCTTCTTTTTATGAACGAAGCAAAGGCAAAAAATATTTCATAAGGTACATGCTCTCGAAAGAGCAAGATATCTATGTTTTCATGCTGAGCTTTACCTAATCTCATCGAATTTTTTCCCACTAGAATTTTATTCAGATTTTCTTTTTTGTAAGGATTTCCCTTGAGATGCGCTACTTTGTATATTTAGGAAGCCTTGAAAAAATCTTACCTCCTGAAAATAGAAAAATAAATGGAAACTCATCTAGGGATCTCTAAAAATGTAATTAAATTAAAAGGCACTCATCAAAGCCAAAAACAAGAAGCATTTTTGCGAATGCTAAATTGCTGTGAATTTTGACTTTTTACAAGTATTTAGAAATCAACTTATTGTAATGGAGAAATTAGAAATGATCTGAATATCTACTTTTCTTAGGTTATCTGAATCCGTTTTTCGCAATTATTGGAGGATTGAATTTTAATTTGGGGGTGTTTGGCTTTCAATTATCATACCATTTGATGTAGTACTAGATTATCTTCGAATGTAACACTGGGATAAAATTGCTCATTTTGAAAGCTCAAACATTATTTAATATTACGGCTAAATTGCCATAAACATTACATAAATATTTATCAAAAGACATCAAAGTACAATTTTATAATGCTGAGAAAGCTTGAAATTATTCCAGGAAAAAGGATATAAGGTTTCATTTCATATTTAAGTAGCGCTTATGACAGGTATGTGCTCGTAATCGTCCTATTATTATAAATTCTCTTAGAAATATATTTTGAAAGCATTGCCGGGGGCTTTAAATATTCATACATAAAATACTTATTTAACCTCATCATTGCTTGCTGAATTTTAATTTGAACATCTAATTAAAATCCAATATCAATATTTGAATAGATACAAACGAATTTGCTTTTACAAGATTCCAAGTAGATTGTTACATTTATTCCTTATCTTAACGTGAGTGTACAAAACTATAAACTTTGATATCCTTATTATGCTTTTACAAACAGATAATTTCCTAAACCATTATCTAAAAACTTAGATTCGATGATATCGTAAGTAACGCAACAAAAACAAACAGTTTTTGTTTCTTCCTTTCATCTCGATAAGTTGAGGTCGTGCGCTAAACAAGAAGAAACGTTTATATTGCTCTTGATCTTTATTCAATGTCGTCTCGTCTCGAAGGATTATCATAATCATAATAGATACGTTCCGGTGCTTTTGTTATCCATCCTAATGGAAAAAAAGAATTCAGACTTCGTGTGTTTTCTTTTCGGAAATGTTACTGTTATGTCGCCCTCATATTATCTCTGACAAATGTACCATGATCTGATGAATGCGATAATTTTTTGATGTAAACTAACGTTTCTCTCTACATATCGATTTTTGTAATGGATTATAGTTTCAGGTTTCATATTGTTGTTTAGATGAACTAGTTGAATGGACAATTCTGTTATTGGCAATAAGTGGGAAAAATGCCATTTGCGAAGGATTGTATCTTAAAGGCTTTTTGCATGTTGTGAATTATTTGAAAGCCATTTCTAATTGACCATCTAATTCTATTCTCAATAAATAATTAAATTTTAATAATCTGATCATAATAAATGTTTCGACAAAAGATTAAGTTTCATTACGATTATTCATTATGTCGTTTATCTATTTTCTCATATTTCTTAACTTAGTTGAAGCATCATCTTTGTTGGTTGTTAATTCAATTAATTAGTCATTTCTGTTGTACTTTCGTGCAATGGCCACTTATCTTTGATGACCTAATTCAAGAAACATTTCTGCTCTTGTCGTAACGACATCATCTTTGACAACGGTGAAGAAGATAACAGCGAATCGTCGTCTAAGTATACACATGATTGTGTGTTTATGTTTGCTTTTAGAGTATAATAATGTTATATGACATTCTCGGTTTAATTAGCATACCATTTTAATGAATAATGAAATTATTATCTGAGAAGTTTTTGAGGGGAAAAGTTTCCTTCGAAACAGTCCAAGGTGCTTTTGTAAAGTATTATATGCGATCGTAAAGTTTAGCTTTATTTTCCTTGATTATGTCATCACTCGCAACTTAATTTATTACTTCTCGTTGTCGTTACAACCTTCATTTTTTATATCGCAATTTTTTTATAATCGCGATACCAAACTTTAACGTATGTTCACGCAAATCCTTTAAATCACATCCAAAATACTTTTCACTTTCCCTTCCAAAGAAAAGAAATGAATAAAAAATAGAATCCAGTCGAGCTGTAAATTGTATCCTTTTAAATTTATAGGGAAATCCTTTCGCATCTCAAATAACTCTTGTCCCAGATGATTGATTCGGGTGATCAGCCCTTTTTATTCCGGAATATTGCTAAGAAAATCCATTGGAAAATCACCCTCGAAGTGAGTAGAGTTACTCTCTGGGATTTTTCCTTCAATATAACGCAATGAATGCTTATAAAATTTTATGTACACCCTCGCAATTCTCTAAAATCACTCGCTGTCGAGGGATGGTTCTTACTTATTTTTATTTTATTTTTTATAAAGTTCAATTCTAAATCTCCCACTAAGTCTTTGAAATATGATGGAATTACTAGCCATCAAAAGGTTATTTTTTATATTTTTATTTTATTTTACCAACAGTTTTCCTTTGTAATATTCAATAAGCAATTTCTTGCTTTTATTTCAAGAGCGACTAACTTGATGTATAATAATAATTTGGAAATGCTGTGCTCTTGAAACATGAAAATCCACAATAAATTTTATGTTGTGGCTCAAGCGAATGTCGTTGTTCGCTAGCCGAAATGTAATAAAAATTATACTTTTAACAACATTGAAAACAGAGCTACGGTAAAAGTATTAAAGCGTCTGTTAAGTTGGGTCCAAAATATGTTGGTTTCATATTTTTTATGTAATTATTGTTATGAAAATGGAATTACATTCAGATAAAATAATTTAACTGAATATAGAAATTGAAGGGATTGTCGGAGGGTTGAGTAACATGATTGACAGTTTTTAATAAAAAATGTGGATAAGCAAGATATTTTTTTGGTTCTAAGGCAAACAATCTGACAGTTAAAAGAAGAAAAAACATGAAAAGAGTAAAGTTTAGTAAAATAGAATGTTAATGTTAAATGTTGTAAATTTTTGAAGACAAAACGCAAAGAATATCGTCATGCAAAGGGTAAACAAAGTATGGAAAAGTAGTAAACATGTTAAGATATAAAAAGGAATTTTCTAGTTCAAAAGAAAGTAAATTTGTTCGTGAAAGGGTTTTCGACGAACGACAAACACGCACCACGTAACATTAATGTGAAGTAAGTAATTTCAATAGAAGGTGGTTTGGTTCGTCTTACTGTACAACTAAGTCTTGCTTTTGATTGACTTAATTATACACGCTCCACATCTTCAACGACTTTCTGTGAAAATAACATGTGCCATGTCGCTTGACGATAATAAATATTGAAGGCTTCTTGAATCTTTCCAATCCATAAAACATTTCCAAGTAACTTTGGCATTAGTACACCACTCAGAAGAAAATGAAGCAATCCAAACATGAAAGAAAGAAATGACGACTAGGAAAAATCAATTTGAGCTTTTTAATTAATCGAACAAACATAAATGATTCTCTTATACTAAAATAAAACTCCATTTAACGTTTGTTTACTGTTTCAATTTTTTATTACAACATTCCGAATAGCACATAAAATCTAATGGCATTTTCCAGTTGAATTTGAGCTTGCTTGAGCTTGTTTTCGTTTACTCTACACAATATAAAACATGTACCGTTGATATCATTATTTTTTAATTGACATCATTATCATTATACATTGTACGGACATTTGATACGTTTAAACAGGATACTTTTAATTGCTTTTAAAAGCATTGACACAGGCTCGTGTATCGAAAAGTTTTGTCTTTGAACAAATTGAATTTTTTGTTGATTTTATTTTTGTAACGACGACGTCAAGTTTTCTTTGTTTCAAATTTCAAGAAATCGATGGAAAAGAATTTGAAGGTATGATTTACCTAAAAATAAATCAAAGGAAAGCTTAGAAACTATGAATTTATAGTTTTTTGAATTATTAATATCTTCGGGCACTTCTTTTTATACATCCACATGAAACGCTTTTAAGAATTCTTGTCTGAATGAAGTTTTCAGTTGTTTTCGTCTTTTGAAGATGGTAACAAAATAATTCAACATGCAAATTCATCGTGAAAAACATTCAAAAAGATTCATAAAAAAAATTACGCATCATGTGATGAGACAAATTATGCAAACAACAAACGTTTATTTTAATTTAAATTTATAATTTCGTTGGTGTTATGATTCGAAATTTCTCTTTCCAGAAATTGCGTCAATTCGTCACAATCATTTTTCACGGTACAAAGTTGGAAAAGTGGAATAACAAACACGAATTCATTTACGAATAAGAAAAAGCATTATTCAATCAAGAAATAAATTTTTCTGTCAAGATTCTTCGAGCGCGATAAATGAAATATTTATGATGTTTACGCAGGTTTGCAGGAGAAGGTGAGCTGAACAATTTCTTAAGTTTTCTCACACCTTCGTTTGATGTTAAATATTAATTGTTTTCAAGGAGATTTCAAACAAACAAATAAATTGCTCGAAAATTGAAAGTCATCGTTCTGAAATTACTCAAATTTAATGTCGTAAAACAATTGAAATTTGTGTAGGAATGTTCAAGCATAAAAATTTCTTTCATTAAGCATTAATGAAAGAGTTTCAAGAAAAAGGAAAGTGATCGATTGTATCGATAAAGTGATGATTAGATTATTTCATTCAATGACGACTTGATTGGTTTATTTCCATAGTTCATTGCTTTTTAATTTCAAATTTATTTAGCATAGTTTAAATTAAAATTCCTGAGTTATTCTCAGGTAAATAAGGCTTCTCAGAAAGAAACTTTGGCTTTCTTCAAATATTTTTCTTACAAAAACCAAATTAAGCAAAATTTCACAAAAGATGAAAAAGTTACCCGAAGAAATTCCGACCCAGAAGGGAAATTGTTTAAGAGAATTGTTTTTGATTAAACACTTCTTAAATAATTGGATCAAATGAAACTAAGATATTAATTATTCAGACAATTCTCAAAAGGTTCTTTTCCTGATTCGTCAACCGATAAATTTGACCATTTTTCTTGCTTTCATGACTTTACCTGCCCCAAGAAAAAGGAAACTTAAGAATGAAGAATGAAACAAAGTTACAATTTCTCCTGTTCAGTCTTTCGCGTGTCGCGAGTTTCTAATAGATGTTATCATGAAGCACATAACTTAGATTGACGGGAATTTCTACCCCGTTGTTCCGTTGAGAATTCATGCGCTCCCAAGTTGAGCTTTTGTTTGAAATGCTAGTGAAATAATAATGAAATATAATAATTCAAAAACTCTCTTCCCTCTTGCAATCTTGAAAAGATGTAAAGGAAATTGAAATAACGAAAATAAACCTTTCGCTTGTGAAAAGCGTAGTTAGATGCGGTTATTGTCAAGTTATTAAATTAATGTCGAGTCACTCAAGGGACCGCCTGCTGCATGCGAATGAGTTTCACCTTTGCCTTGGGCCCAACAAGCCTCAACATTTAAAAAGACGTCGAGTCATTTCGTATTTAAAAAGTAACTTTATGATTTACGGGTAACTAGACACGGGCATGACATGACTAGACTCACTTCTGTTCATTCTGAGCTTTTTCGTCGGCTTGTTTATGGTCGTCTACAAGGATTTGTTCCGACCACAAATATTCGTTTCGAGACATGAACGTTTATAAGACAATTTAATGTGGCAGATTTATTTGACGTGTCACAAAAGCAAAGAAGAAGAGCAGGAAGTAAAGGAGAGAAATAACATGTATGAGAGTCAAGTGAAACAAAGCAGCTTATCACGGGGTAAACTTCACTTTACTTTCCTTTTTTCCTTCTTCTTCACGTAGTTCTTTATCTTTGGCTTGTTTCTTACTCCTCAAATGAAACTTTTCTTTTTTGTTCTTCTTCGAATACAGAACGTATCATGCACTCATGCAAAAACTTTGTTATTTTTTTTTCTCTTCCTTAAAATGACTCGTTCAACCAGAAATAAGTCGAAGAAAATGTTCTGTAAATTCCGCACGACTTCCAAAAACGACGATGACAACGAGAAATCACGGGATTAAAACTTTTACTTTTGAGAACTGCTTGAGAAGTTTAAAGCAATTTTGCTTGATTAAAAACTCAAACATCCAGTGAATTATTGCGCTCGTTTCCAACAGCAAAAATAAAAAATGAAATATAAAGGAAAGAGCAGTGAGGAAGTGGAAACTTTTGCTCAATACATAAAATGACTTATTCACTTATGAACGACGAGCAAGGACGTAAAACTTTTACTTTACCTCAAAACGCGAGAACTTTGAGCGTAAGACCCGAGCTTCCATTGTCATATATATCTGTTTCGTGTCGACAAATATAAAGTGACTTGCTTTAAACGAAAACTTTCTCGTTTAACGTTAGCAGAATGAATTTGCTTTCGTCGTTGAGAGTTTATTCTGTTTCGACTGTTCCACTACGAGTCGTTTAATATCTTTTCAGTGATGCCAGCTGTGAAAGTAAATTTCACAGTCGTCTCTTTGGGAGCATAAAAAGTTTTTGCTCTTTCATAGAGTCGATTTCCACTTATTAATTTTTCTGTTTGTGGTGCAAGTTTTGCAGTTATTTTGACACTACTCAACAACTTTTAAGGAACATTTATTCTTATTTAATAAAACATATTTACTGAAAGTAATAAATTTTATTCCCTCAAAGATACTTTCGATTTCCTTTTATTTGGATCACCGAAGGAAACTTTCAAGTCACTGAAAACTTTTTTTTTCTAAATGTTTTAAACGCCACTCCATTAAATTCTACATTTCAAATCGATCTTCAACTTCACTTTTATAGTTTTCGGTTTCAAAGCTATCGCTTAAGTGCTTGAAGTCATTCATCATGGTTTATCATTTAATAAAAAAGGAATTCGTTGAAAAATTGAATAAAGTTTCCTTGTGCTCACGATGCCCATTATCACCATAAATTAAGTCACTCAATTTCTCATCGGATAAAGCGTAAATTTCAGCAAAGCTGTTAAGTCATAAAAAAAAGCTCTGCGTTGAAAGCGATTCAAATCAGATTCATGGCCTCAAACTTTGCCCATTCGTTTCTCATTCAATTCAAGCACAACGGGAGGGAAGATGGCAATTAATCTTGCTTATAAAATGTATCAATAAATAAATAATAAAAAATACATGAGTTCAGTTTAATAATTTCGCAAGTTTCTCCATTAATTCTTGCCGCACGTAAACATAGCTGAAGACAAGTGAAGGAAAGTTTTCTTATTTTTCTCTTTTAGTGTGAAGCATTATTCATTTTGCCTTGCTTTCAATACGCGTTGAGGGTAGGAAAGGAACGAATGAATGAAGTTTTTCCTTACTTTTCTTACATTTCCCTCTCATTGTGTGTGTGTGAATGTAGTTGGTTTGTAGCGAGCACTTTTGGGTTCGGTGAATCCATTGAATCAATGTTCAAGACGTGTCGATTCGTTGTGCTGACTCTGTTATCGGTAATTGCATTATCCATCATTTTCACTAATCCAAGAAGTGTTAAATAACGTCGGTAGAGTAATCCCTAGGATAAAGGCAATTTTTTACAGTCGTCTGTTAGAAAAAACTTATCAATGGTCATTTATTTTTATCAAAGCGCCCTCACTTCACGACGTGCTTGCTTGTTTTTATAGTTTGCTGATAGAAGCGATAAACATTATGTTCTGACAAATTATATCTAAGGAAGTAAAAGTTTCATTGAGTTTTAAAATAAAGGAGAAGCAAAACAAGCAAGACTTTTGTTACGTGAATGAATTCCGGAAATTCCTAGAAGATTGTATCATGAAATTATTATTCCTAATGAGTGACCAAAGAAGGTCAAATAACTCAAAAATTTTGTGGTTTATTTTCGAAGAATTTCCACTCAATAGATTTGATGACAAACCAGCTTACCACACTGTAATAAATATGAAAAATAAAAGGAAATAAAATATTGCATTTTCATGTTTTCCATCTTTCTCTCAACCCAAGTGGAAAACCAACAAATACTCATTTGATTTTCAAAGATATTCCCTTTCTTCTTCATCCCCTAGATCACTTGTACAGTCGCATTGTTGCAATAAACGAATTATTCCATCATTTATTTCGCACAATTGCCATCAACCCTCCGATCATATATAATTTCATTTTTCGTCATCATTTCTTTTCTTCAAACTTTTATCGTTCTTGAATGAGGGTAATCTATGGCTTTCAAGCATTGAAACGAGAGAAGATAACACGAACGAACTACAGACAGATGACTCGAGGTAGAATAAATTTCAAAAATGCATATAAATTCGAGGATAAAGACGACATTCATCTGTAGAACAAAAAAGAAAAAAGAAAGCAAAATTAAATATGATACAATTCTTACAATTCTTCCTTATTCATCCCCTTCTGTCAATAATTTTCCAACAAAACAACATGAAATAGAAACATGAACATTGAATCTGAAATAAGAAATTTGATAGAGAACAGCAATGCATGCAAAGATAGTTTCTTCGTACTTAGTATGTGAGTTGCATGTTGAGATGGGAGTTGGATAAAGAGTCTTGTGGGGAATAAAATATTTGAACAAAAAATAAGAGAAAAGATGACATGCTAGGGGAAGAAACATTAAACTTTATAATTTTATTAAACACCGTATCTTGTGAATTGAGAGAATGTGAAAAGGAAAGAATCGTTGATGTGATACTCTGATGACATTCAATGCAATAGCGAAACTAGTGAACGAACATGAAAAATATCACTTTAAGGCACTCGACAACTCTCGGTCGTTACTAACTAAACAAGCGAAGGAATACATGGAGAAGATAAAAATTTGAATTTAAATTAAAAAAAAGAGAAGATTGAATTTGATTTTTGTTAAAGGGAAATTCACAGCATCAGCTAAGGCAAAAAAGAGTCTCGTGAAATCTGAATGATTGATGTGAATTATTTCATTGTGGGACAAGTCGAAAGAACTTCATGCTGTGATTGAACCAGTGACATTAAGAATTTGAATTATTGTGTAGAAATTTCACTCGAATGTGAAGAAAAGGAGAAAAACGACAACACTTTATGTTATTTCTCTTCAATTTGAAAAGAATATTTTGCATTTCTTCTATCGACTGTGATCTTGTATGTGTATATAGAGAAAAAAATAAGAAGTCAAGGAGATGCATACGTTGCTAAATGCTTGTAGAATGAAATAGTTTACTTTTGAGAAAGTTATTTTAAAGTCAGCATTGTTGATTTGTTCCTTAAGGTTCGTTTGAATTCAGTTGGGCGAGAAATAACTTTGCCATGATCTGGAAAATCGATAAAGAATTAAACGAATAACAAGCTTACCTAGTGGAGACAATCCGTTACTAAGAAGAAAGAAAGGGGAACCCTTTTAGTATTGTCTCCTTAAACTTTGATCGAGAATTTCTTTTTCATTATCAAAGGTTAGCTAAGGACGGGAAAATATTTCACTTATTTCCTTCCATTCACTTCGAAAAGTTTAATTAAAATTGTATAAGACTTTAGATTTTCCGTCTCTCACTTCCATTCTTAGAAATAATAAAAAGCGTTTTCATTGTGTTTTGTTTGCCATCATCTAGAGTAGCTTTGTACGGATAAATATTTTGAACGATATTGGAATGTCGCTTTTGTGTTTTGAAAGCAAAGAAAAACGATAGAAAAGTTTGAGTTGAGCACGAGTAGACAATAATCAGGTTTTTCTTTTGATTTTCTTTTAAAAGTTGTAAAGGTTTTCTGCTTTGCACTGTTTACTTATCCTCATCGGTTTATTATATCTATTCACTTGAACATCTACCTAAGATAGTCAGGAAAGAAATCGAAATCAGGAGCAAAGTGTCTTCGTGTCTTCTACGAATTCATTCGTCAAATAAGAGAGAAAAAAACATTTTTATTGAAGACATTTCTTGTTCTTAACAAAACACTTGAGTTTGCTTTTATTTACTGAGAGTGAGATAAATTCACATTCTATTTAGATTATTGAGAAGCTGATTGTTTATTTCACTTGACAGAAGGTGGTCTTATTATTTTCTTCTGTTTTATTATCATACTCTGAGTTCAAATGATTTGAAAGCAAACAAAAAGTAAGAAACAAAAGAACGTAAGCATAAAGTGTATCAATTATTGTCGTCTATTGTTTCGTGCGGCAGTAGTAAAAACCAAATTTATTGCTTTTTTCTGTTAAAGTGACATGTGTCATTCATGCATTTACTCATTCGAAAGAATGGGGGACGGAGCTGAAGTCCTTTTAAAAGGATGATACACTGAGATTTTTCACTGACAAATAAATGCTTGTCGTTTCACACTCGTAATACGCCACGTGCCGTGACTGTTTGGCTGGTTGCTTTAAATTATTTTCGTATTCAACCCTCGACTTTTGCAGTCGAAACTCACGCACTTGATTCAATAAAATGCCGTAAATTTAAGCACATGATTGAAATAATTTCATTCGAAGTGTCTGCAAGACGAAACATCTATTTTTCATTCGGCATACTGTATGGCGACAGACTCTGAACCATTGAATATTGTTTCACATTTAAATTACCTTCGTCAACATTAATCGCAAAAGTCATTGAAGTATGATTTGAGGGAACGGAAAATTTCACTGTCGACTTTTGAATTATTTTCATTCTAAATTGCCACCGTCATCATCTCGTTTTGTTAGAAAGAATCTTTTGCTTGTTCCTTTTCGCTAAATATAGAAAAAATACAAAAAAAAAAGTCTGATGAATAATTGATTCAATTTCAAGGTATGAAAAAATAAAATAAATTAAATTGAGTTTTTTTTTCTGTATTCTCTCTCCACTTCGTCTTATGAATATCATTTGCAATATTCCGTTCGATCATGTGGGGAGAAAGATATCGAGAAATGTAAGATTTAATGGGAAAATGATTTGGATGGATGTTTATTGAGAGGGAGTTGAAATAAGCAGAAAACATGAAGAAAAAGATTTACGAGTGAATGGCATTAAAAGAAATTATGCTCTAGGATAAATGCTATTAGAGGTGATGATTTTGATTAGAACCATTAATATGTTTGTGTCTGTACGAGATTTCAATGTTTAAAGATGAAAGAAACTTTTCTTCTTTTATTTCCCCTCAAATCAATATGGATATTAAACATTAAAAATGCATATTTATTTAATGTTCAATCATGCAAATTAGCTGATTTTGTCAGCCAGCGGAAATAAATGTGTTGACATGGTAAGAATTTCGAAGCGGAGACGATTGCGAAATGCTTTTGATGTACAATTACATCGCAACATAAAATGAATGAAATGTATATAAACACATAAAAGTATGTATAAAAGAAAGTATTAACTTCATTTCCAATTTTTCAGTATTCACTGATTTCTTTTTTTGTTCTTTTCATTCAGAGTTCACGAAACATCCTTTTTCTGGTTTTTTTGGGAGAACATAAAAGCAAACACAAAAACCAGCCAGAAATTAATTGGACTCTTTTTCCTTCGTCTCCGATCCAAGTAGCATAACATTGGGGACTAAAAATGTAAATTTTTAATGACTTCGATGCTTTTTCTTCCTACTCGTCGATACAGTTGACTTTCTTTCTTCTTTATTCATAAATAAATTATAAATAGAAACAAAAGCCTTTTTGATCAGAACTTTAACTGTCTATGACACAAAATCGTTTAGCTGAAATACTTCGAATTATGAGAATAAAAGCACTCAAAGTTCAGATTGATGCCATTCGATAAAAGCTTCACAGCATATCGATGAGTGTATGCTTATGAAACATATTGTATGTCGACTGTTGCTTTGAGTATACTTCAAGCACCCAATCTGTAATACCGTCTGACATTTCGATACACAATTCAGTCGTAAAATTTTCTGTTTTTATGTGAAAATTTATTTACGTCAATAAATATGGTTTCCGACAAAGGTTCTTAAGTTTTTCATCGATTGCATGCACATTACATTTTATTTCATTATAATCTAGCTACATCAGCAGTAAAAACTTTCATTTTCATAAAGCGATTACAACTTCAGTGGCTGCTTGCGCTTTCAAACAACGAATATAAATTACAAGAATCCAATTGTTGAACAATGAATTCATTGTGCTCGTTTAGAAAATCAATAAGATGTCAATGATACTTTTCCGAGGAAATTTATTGAATTACTTATTATGATTCCTTTAAAATTATTCCATTCTCAACAATCAGCATCTTAATGTTTACCATTTTCATCAGTGACTCTTCCGTTCATAATTTCCGTTGATGTCTTTTATGTTTTCTTACATTTGAGTGCTATCACTCATTGTATGTGCTTGCTTATGAAAACAATGGTCAATGTGGTTATTTTCTCGTTTTTTTTCGTCTTTCAACGTACCGTACCATAGGCCGGAAAGTTTTTTGAGCTTCCGATAACTGTAACAAAACTCTCATTTCCTAATTTATGAAATTACATCCGCTTGTGATACTTTCGGTCGTTGTGAATGCCACAAACATGCTGCTCCGTGTGTCATATCGTTTGCTTTATAGCTTCTGATGTTGTTTGCTTTACGTCACATCATGTTGCTTTTCGATATCATCGAGCTTGGGTTGAATCATCGTGAAATGAAATGAGAAAAAAAAAGTGTATAGATGTATCGAAAGTATCACCGTAGGTGACACTTTACGCTATGCAGCAGGTGCTAAAGATTCCTTCTCATTTCACTGAATTGAGTTTATTGGCAAAATATTTTCCCGCCCATTGACAATCCATTATCTCTCGCCCTTTGAAGCTATCATTTACAAATAAGTAACGTATTAGTAAGAGCGATATAAATCTTCCGTAATTCATTTTATATATGTACGACAACACTTCTTTCTCACCTCATCGTGAGATTAATTATAAAAATTCTAATTAATACGATGACCATCAGCAATTTCTCTTCCCACCTGTAAAGTTTCCTCCAATAAATTTTAGTTCGTACACATATATTTATAAGGTGAACATCGATGGGAAAAGTTTCACAACCTCATTCATATTAAATAAATGAATTCTATGGTTATGACAAGTCATCATCAATATTTTATGAAGGCATATTTCCAACAATGGGCTGAAGCAACAAAAGGGAAGAAACACTTCATTCTTATGGATTGTCTTCCGTATAAATACAAATGACTGTTTAGAATAATAGCTTGAGAAGTGAGGGATAGGAGTGAGTGGGTGCTGCCATTAAAAATTGATCCACAATCTAAACACATAATTGAAGATTTTCTTTGGGTATAATAAAACTTATTGGGATGGTCATCGAGAGTGTTTTGTTTCCTTTGCCTTCGGTTTCGGTTTATTACTTGATGTTTATACAAGGTTTTAGAAATGAGGGAGGCGAAAGCACTTAAAATGAAGAAAATACTTACGACTGAAATTCATTATTAAATACTTTGTCAGTTTGTAAACAAAAACAATATCACCCAAAAGGGGAATAAAGTGTAGAGATTCTTTAGATTTTCGATTGAATATAAACAAGAATGAACTGCAAATAACTTAATTAAACATGATGTTTGAACATCAAACATTAAACGGTAAATAATGTCATGAAGTATTTCAATTAATTTGTATTTATTAAAAGCTGCAATTAAAGCTTTACAAGATGTAATCAATGTAATGAAAATTGCATGAAATATTTCTATGCAGTCATCCACCCACACCATATTTATGTACAACATATATCAACGAAATCAATAGAGTTAATACATCATTTAATTTATTTAAATTGTTCTATTATGATCACTTGTTGTGTTTATTAATTAAAGTTACGACTGCTATCACATGTATGCGAACAATGTTAGATTTAATGATAAATAATTAAATATTTCTGTGCAACGGTATCAGACAAGCTTTCAAGCTTTCGTAAGTGTCATTCCAAAGGGTGGAAAAGCGACGTTAAATCCCTTTGAATATCTTTCACATTTCGCACTCAACATCATTCGCGTGTAGTATCAATTAATCATTTCAACAAACAAACATACAATGAGAAGATAATGAAATCTAATTAGAAAGCACCTAGTGCTATAGCTTTCACTTTATCTGCTGCTTCATCGTCTGTTTTCAACATTGTCATGACAGGAAATGAGTGGCGTTCACAAAAATACGTCCTTGGGCTTTCTTCTTTTCTTTCCTTCTCCTTTTTTTTCATTTTATTTATAGTCAATCAACAGCAAATCAATTGTGTGAGTTTCACGTTTGTTTCAGTGAGAGGGTTTGGGGGGAAGCTATGAAAAAAGAAACACTCAATGAAATTAATGAGTGTAATAATAATCAGAATTATTTCAATAATAATTTTCAAAGTCAATGATGCATTTCGCTATTATCCTCGATTTAATCATTTTCTTCCCCCAAGTTTTTTGTTATCTATCTGTACATTGCTGCGTCTGCCTTCTTCACATGAACGAGGGTTGAAATTTGATGGAAGAAAATATTTTTTTTTATTTTTAAAGTACGAAGGGAAGAATGTTGCTGAAGGCGGCATCAAACCGAACAGATATTCGTTTTCAATTTTATATAAGAAATAATATTTTATTATTCTGCACTAGATAAATAGTTTATATTTCTTTATTCCTCTACTCTTCATTTTTTATTTTTATTCTTCAATGGAGCAACTTATGTTAGTTGCGTCACGAGTAGAAAATCGAAGGAACTTTGCATAAATTTTTAAACAAGAAATAAAAAAATGTTTCCAGTTGCTCAAACTTTGAATCAAACGCAGACATCGGTAGATATTTTCGTGGCTATATATTTTGTTTTTCTTTTTTCCTTTCTGTTTGTTATCTTTCTGATGTTTCACTCTTGAATGAACTTTATTGGCATTTAGGCGATATCTCTATGAATATGACGTTTGATATTATTTTGATCACCCTCGTTCACTTTTCAAGTCGTCTGCATTCGACTGCAATCTCTTCTGTGTGGTTTACTTCACCCTCAAAGTTATTTTTCCTTCCCTTTCTTACAATTTTTTTTTCTCATCTTTTGACAACGATTGGACAAACAGTTATTTCGCTATGCATGTGAAAATATTTAGCCGAAGGCTGGGTACTTTCAATGTAAATTTGATTATGGCAAATATATGAGAATCTATAAATATTATTCCAATCGAGGGTTGTAACAGTAATAACTCTTATGTAATGTATTGAAAGGCGTATAACGCGAATAGCCTCTGGTTTCCAATGCTTTCTCATCTTTGGTTTCAAAAGTCACAAAAGACTTAATAAAGACAGCATCATTCAGAATACTTATCAAGATAGATATCTAATGAAACATTAAATATGCAAAACTCTCCCTAATTTCAACATGAAAGCAGAGAATTCTCCCCGAAATTTCCAATCTTTCACCATCGGATATTAATTTAAATAACAAAACAAAAAAACAAATTCCTCGCTTCTTCATCAACGAGATCGAGGGCGAAATTACAATTCATGTTGGCACTCGAACAATACTTACTCGTATATCTTCAGACAATCGGCTTTGTTGTTTATTTAAAATTATAATTTTCAATTTGCTTCGTGGATCAACATTTTACTTTCTTGTTGTATTTATTTCGTTGAGTCACTCATGATGAGCTGATGAGAAGTCTAAGAAAGGAAGAAAAGTTTCCAATTTCAATTTAGTTTGAAGAATCTTTTGAAGAAGAAAATTTCACGAATAATTTCCATTCTGCGAGAAAGAGAAATGGGGAAAACTTGTTTCAACGATGCGATGATCTCGTGAAACCCTGAAAGACAGATGGGACACGACCGGTAGACGGCAGAAAAGTTTTAAGAACAAAAATGTTTGAGATAAATTTTCCACATCAATGGACACCATTATGGCATCACAGGACATAAATTCATTTCTTTCCTCCTAAGTACAACTTTAACATCGCTTAGATAAGCAATAAAAAGGCTTTAAAATTTGTTGAAATGTCCACCCCAACTTTTATCTTTATGTTTCACAGGATTGATGTGAAAGTTTTCTTCCACAATTGTTGACGATGGGCAAATGTACTCAACTTCACATCAACAATGATAAACTATGGTGAACAGTTGGTCACAACATTTTCATAACTTCTTCTTTAAAGTTTAGAAATTATTTGATCTTTATAATCTCAACATAAATTCAAATAATCCTGAGTAATTCAAATCGAAAAACAAGTCGTAAAATGCACTTTCATCTTCGAAAGCATGAGAATCAAACCGATTACTTTCCAACTTACTTATTTACTTTGTTATGAGTTTGTGGCTTTTTGGTTATCAGAATGAAAATCGTTTCGTTGGCAAATCGAGGAATTATGTTATTGGATTGTTTGAAATGAAATAAGAGAAGAAAGAAAAGTAAATACGCAGAACTGATTTAAGATAAAGCGTCATATATTTCTTTCGCTTTAATGAACTTCTCTGTTTTTGTTTTTTTTCTGCTTGTACAGTATAAAACTTCTTCCATCTTTACCCCCCAAAAAATCACCCAAATCACCACGAACATCGTGATGTTGTGAACATTACCAAGCTAATAATTGAAAATTCCTGAAGCTCTCATAATCCTTTTTGTAATTCCATTGTAAATTCTAAGTAGAGCTGCTTAAGCCGCAGAAATTTTAGTGGTTGGGAGAAATGAGAACAGCGAACAAGCAGAAACTGAATAATCAGTCAATTAATAAACGTAAAAAGCGAAAGAAGAAAGAATGAAACAACACCATTAATTACCAGATTTCTCCCCTTCAAAATCATAAATGTCAAGTTAAAATCATCAGACGAAGGCGAATTTATTACAAGGAAATGGCCAGCAAAGTAGTTGAAGCTTGCATGCAATCATTCAAGAAAAGGTGAAGAGGTAAAGGAAACTAAATTAAGTAAATATTTTTGTTTTACGATATAAAAATTCTTCTCATGCTGTGCTTTTCAACCTGAACCACAATTCCATTTCATTTCATTCATTCAAAGCAACAGAGAATGAAAATGCGAAGAATATTATGTTTCAATTAAGAATTTCTCCTTAGCATCATTCAGCAGACACATGATAACATCATGGATAACTTCAACCTACAATTGTGATATGTATATTTGCTTCCCCACAAATTATCTGCGAGAGAAGAAAAGTTTATCAAAACATCAAGGAACACGACACTGCCTCGCAACTTGCGAACTTTTGTAGTTTGTTGAAGTGAAAATTATTAATTTATGCTGAATTCTCACGCACAAATTTTACCTGTTATCACGATACTATGTATGGATCCGTGCGGTGGAAATATTATCTGTTTATTCTGCAATTTATTTTTGGTTAAAACATGAGTTTTTGTATTATTTATAGTCGTTCCGTGTGTTTGTATGCACGCCCGTCTTTTCCACTCACTAGGTTTGTTTGTTTCAATTATCCCTCAAGCACACGAACTTTATTTAATAAATCTCAATGTGTTGCTTAACTTGATTTAAAGTTTTAGTGTGTTTGGGAAACATTAATTTATTATGTTACAGTTTTATAGTAGTTAAAAGAATTTAAAGCTGCTTTCAACTTAACTCCTTTAACCTGAATCCTTTAATATTTTTCTCATGTGAAAAGCTAAACTTTTCAAAGCATATTTCCCTTTTTGATATTGGATATTTCATCTGAAGCCTTTCTTGTTGTATTAATGTTGTTTAAGATGTGTGTATAGCATGAGACGATAACGTAACTAAGAAAATAATTTTCCATGTTTATCACTTTCATCACGTAAAATGAAAGAAACGGCGAAGGTGAAGGAAAGGGGAAAAGTTTCATGAAACACTTCATAAAATGACTTAAAATTAGTATAAATGAGATAGTGGCGCGTTAAGTACAATGAAACTTCATGTGCACTAATGAGCAACATTCTTGAAACTTTCAAGCCTAAGCTATGAGGCAATTTTTTAATTGCAATCTACGAGGTGTGCGTGCAATGCTACATAACATTAATCCATTGTAATTAATGTCACATTTGGTTAGAAAAGCTCATTTTTCATATGTTCACGTTCCTTTTAAATAATTTAAGTTGAAAACCGCAATATAAACAATCATGAAAGTTGCGTTTTCTAACATGACTCTTATTGCCTTCATATCGTGTTCAATTTAAAATTTAAATACAGTTTTGAGTCGTTAAACTTCTTTCACATTACTTCCTCGAGATATATGTTTTATGTTTTGATTACATTAAAGTATGCTAATACACATAATTTTGCTTAATGAACATAACAGAAACAACCACAAAAGTTTTTAATTACATGAAAAAATCTAGAATCATTTCTTATAGTACTAGCGAGTAGTGCATGTTTTGAATTCATAAAATTTTACAATCAAACTAAGAAAAAGTTGCCGTTGTGGAAAGAAGAAAGTTTTTCTTTTTTCTTTTTATTTACTTCCAGCGATAAAAACGTCTTGGAAGCGCCAATTGAATGGAATTTTAACGGGGCTTATTCAAAGCAAAACTTAATTGCAGGCGGATGTCGGAATGAGCGCTTACAACATAAGCTTTAGGCTGTATAAATTCATAAACCTTGGATTAATATTCATTTTCACTTTTATTTTGCGTCCTTCTAACCAATAACAATTTCATAATCAGACTTTTGATGTGTGTTTGTTATCAGATTTCGGAAATTTTATTGATTTCGATGGAAATCATTAAAACGTTTGGAAAATATTTTTAATTTAAGATTCAATAAAATTTAATTTACTAACTTTAATTATGATTATAATTCCCAGCCAATTTATCAATGTCAGTATGTCACAAAAAGTTCCACATGTTATCGATCAAGAACGTAAGCTGATATTATGTTATGAGAATCATAATTGACTTTTGGTTAACCAAATCCTACTTAGAGATCATTTTTCTAATGAAAGAAAAAAGACTTTGACTCTTTGAATAACACTAAGAAAAAGTATTGATTGGTGAAATTTCTTTCATTGAAAATTTTCGTAAGAAGGCAAAAAATAAATGTAAATGTCGAAAATAAAAGAAAATCTTCTTTCAATAAAGTTGAGAAGAAAAATTTGTTCTTAATTCTTTATAGACAGAGACATTGAATGGGGACATCTAAAATAAGCGAGTAAATAAGAAGAAATTATTTATTTAAGCATTTCGTGTTAAAGCATTTTATGAGAATCTCATCAGAATTCAAGAATTAGCTTTAACCCGTATAAAATGCGGGGGCTTTGTTCATCAAACAATGAACATTTCCCAAGGCTTAAGGTTTAAGTTAAAATGTTTTCACCCTGCTTTTGCGATCAAAACTCGCTTAAAGTTATCTAGCGATTCTCCGAGTTCGTGCTTTTGGTAAATCAGTAAACTATCAAAAACTTTACCGGAAAGTCAAAAATTTAATATTCAAATGCTTGAAGATTAAGACGTTCGCTTGATTCTACTTTATTTTAACCAAAAATCATCCAAAACAACTGCTCTCATCGTTGATATGATAAGACGATACTTCTCCAAGAGAAAGGAAAAAAATAAAGAAACTTAATTTTGTGCTATCTGAATATTTTATCAGCTGCTGTCATGCTTCGAAGATTAATAATTAAAACCTAATTCAACGTGTATGTATGTATATCTTCTCATACTTCTTCTTGAAAGGAGTTGATAAACTTTTCGATTTTGCTCGAGACACAATTCACACCTTTTTGAACATTAAAGCTCTGTTTCTCACGTTCATGTTTTATTTCAACATACTTCAAAAGCATTGAATTAAGTATGTTGAGAAGGAAGGAAGAGTTGAGACATAAAGTATCATTCGCTCTTATTCGAATGTGCATTGGACTTTGAAAAGTATAGAATTTCCCCATTATTAGCATATTTCTCATGAGCAAGTGATACTGCTGGTGCCTTTATTCTCTTTTAAGTATCTGGTGACAGCAGATATATCTTCAGTTCACTACACACTCACCTCACTTGCCTAACAGTAGACATTCTAACTTTCTTCCATTTTTCATTGTTTGGTAAATGTTTCAACAGCTTAATTCGCCATCAATCATCGGTAATAGAAATAATTTTTGACATTAATCAACGGAATGGAATGTTCAATTAAAAGTTTATAAGTAAAGTTTTCTTCCTACAACTGGTTGCATCGGTACGGGCTTTCACTGTGAAAACTTTCAAAGTTTCACTACGTGCAATAATATGAATGCAAAATTCATTTTAACGAAGAACATTTCATAAGCTTCCTCTAACAATTACCGCCACTTTGATCGTCTTTCAACACCATTGTTTCACTTGAAACCAAAAAATTATAATTAACAATGACGACAACGAAATTCAATTTTCGAGTTTGCAGTTAATAGAAGGGAAAAGTTTTACCATAACGCTCATAAAACTAATTTTTGCAACCTCGAAAAGTGCTTTTCGAATGTGCCACCATAATTTTATGAAATTTACAACAGCGAGAAAGAGGTATTGCTGCTGCCGCTTCCATCTGTTCACTTTTCTCACGCTGATGCGAATGATTGCAAACATATTTCCTACCATGAAATGCGCTTGGGGAAATTTTTATGTTTCGTGGCATCGGATCATCAAAAAAAAGTTTTGTACCCACGCTGCGAATCAGTATTAATTATGATGGAAAGTTGAGGTAGGGTGGTCGTTAAATGCATAATAATTATAGAGTCAACAGAAAAGCTCCGACATTTTAATCGTTAAATCGACAACAAACTTTTGCCTTGCTCGTTTCCGCTGTTCGGACACGCTGGGCTTATGTTGTTTGGCGAAAACACTGTCGGGATAGTTTGCTTGATTTATAGACTTTAGCGGAAAGTTTTTTTTTATCGTCTTTGTTCGTAAACTTTTTTTTTATTTGCCTTTCGATGTAAGTTTATTAAAGAGCTTTTTATGAGGTTCAAGTTTCTACGAAATGATTAAAGTAAGAAATATTCCTGACTGTGTGAATTCAAAGGTGCTTATTAACCTCTATCGATCGATAGGTAAAGTTAAATTGTAAGAAAGAAACTCACGAAGATCAGTTTCACTTAAATATGGTCGTCCGTAAGGAACAATAAAAGTAATTTTTTTAAATCCCGGTTTAATTGTATGACTCTAGCCGTGCGGCACCGACCAATTAAAGTATTTTTAATTATGATAAAAACACTTTTCATCGCTTTTGGAGACCACGATTGGGGCTTTTCGCTTCATCAGCTCCGTGTTGTCGTGAATTCTATTTATTTATACTCATACACGTCCGCTGTAATTATTCACGCAAATCCGAATTTAATTGTTAAATTGTTGCTGTAAAAACAACATAAAGCAATGCAAATAAATAATTCATTGGAATGTGTGTGTATGTGGCTGGTATGCCACCAGAGAAATTGGATGGGACATGGAAATTTTGGTACTGAGGTTTGCTGGTTTACCAATACATTTCCAAATGCATTTTCAACCTTTACACAAAGGCATTCATTTGTGCGGTGAATAGCAATTCAGATTCTTGTCCAAACTGATCATATCGGCCAATTAAAAACAAATTTGTCATAATGCATTGCGACTTATTGATAGCGGTCAAGCATTAGAAGATGAAAACTTTCAGGAAAGCAATTTGCTTCGCTTCATGTTTCTGTTGTCCAATTTGAGTTTGTTGTCCGATATATGTTGGGGAAAAGCATGGGAAGGGAAGCATAAAACTTTTCTTTTATTATTATTCCATACGTGGAACATGTAAGCATCATAAATGTTAAAGTTTGTTTTATTTATTACGTGACATTTTTATGCTTCTCCGATTGTTTCCCTAATTAAACTTTGAACATCCCAAATTGGAGGAGTAGATATTTGAGAAATCTGCAACTTCTTATTATTTCTCTATTTATCATATATTGGATTTCAAGTAGCTTCTTATTCATAAATTTATTAAGAAGAAAAGAAGAGAAAAATTGTGAAGCATATTCTAAATTTTCATTCATAAAATATGATGAAAGACATGACGTACATGGAGCTCTCTTTATTGTACCGTGGGAAAGTTGAAGGAAAAACAGGAAGAAGAAATTGCAATGATTATCCAGTGTTGAAGTTAAATATAAACTAAAGTTTTAGGAAATATTGCACCATGACTCGTTTCCTTGATTTTTCCCGTGAGAGGAAATAAAATTCTCTCTCGAAGTTTTCCCCTCAAAAAGGAAAGTCAGGATTCTGGAAGGAACCATACAAAACTCACTCTCAATTTCATTAAAACCTTACAAATGTTACTCAATTTACCGATTTTATGCTCTTTCAAGTCATTTCCCCTTCGAATTTATCAAGGAATTTATTTCTCAAGCAGCTGGGAAGTTCTCTAAGCATAATTCCGTTCATCCAACCTTTATGTTTTTCGCAAGAAACAATCAATTTCAAAGTATGCTTCATGTTTTCTCGATCTGTCAGCTTTTCAACTTTTTTACTTCTCTAAAAGCAAAAATGTTTTCTTTCTATGTGTATAAGAACTAAACATTCTAAACATTAAACGCCATGAGAGAACTGTCACGTGTAGAGAAGGAGAACTTACGTTAATTACAGTTCAGATATCCATTAAAAGCATTGGATTGAAATTTTGATTTAAAGTTTAAACACATTTGTGAAGGTTTTCAAAATATTTCAATTCAACATTCAATCACTTGGAAATTGAAAACCAAATTAAATATTCAATATTTTTTTTCATTTCTATTTTCACTTGTTTGTCTATACACACAAGTATCATAAATGAAATTCTCGTTAAATAATTTCTATGGATTTCTATTTATACCCCCGGAGTAGTAAAACAATTTTGGTGAAATGAATTTTTTAGAAAAGTTCAACGGATAGAAAAACGCTAGGATTGGATTTTAGATTTTTTTTTACTCAATAAAACTTGAAATAAATGTATTGAGTGAAGCTTAGGTGAAGGGTAATCTCAGTCAGCTCACAGCCCTTTTCAACTTCGACTTTGCAACAAGCATGAAAAAGTTTGCATTATTGATTTTATCAAAGAATTTATTTTTTCCGAAAAATTCAATTAAAAACTTGAAATTTCTTTGCTTATTGGAAATGTTTAATTTAAATTAATTGATTCTTCCTTGATTGTATATTCAACGATGACTCAAAGGAATTTGTTGGTAAACAAAAATTTTTCCAAGATGTACATCGAATACAATTCGAAATTGTGTAGCAAGGAAGTCTAACTCTTTGAAGTTGCTCAAAATACTGTAATCAATGAGTACAAATAGTTATTTCTAGACATAGAAATTCGAGGAACATTAAAAAAATATTTTGTAAGAAAACTATGCAAACAAATATTTTTAAGTAAAATTTTCCCTTTTCTTCCCTTGCATGAATCTTCCTAGAAAGAGGATGAAAAATTTGTGTAGGAATATTTACAAAATATCTTGTATAACATAAATTTCAATATCAAAAGTATTTCCACATCATCAAAATATTTAGTAAACATTTATGAAATTGTGTGAAAAAATTTGTAAATACATCATGATGAGACATACCTTGGAAATTCTAAGAAGGAAAATAATTATAATTGCACTTTCTCCTCGACTATGGATAATCCAGAACTTTCAATAAATCGACATTTTCGATTGATCCCAGTTTAAGCTTTGGGGACACAAAAATAGAGTGAAAAGCATTCCAGGGCATCACGAAAATAAAATATTGTCTTTTCCCAATTTAACCCCTTTTCAGTCTTCGTTTCTTGCGACTATAATAATAAAACTGAAATTTATGGGATTGAAAATCTTTTAAGGTTCATGGCATTCAAGGAATTTACATCGAAAAACAATCCTTTTCAATAGACTCAAAGTTTGCCCCCACGGTCTAAAGACGACATTATTTTTGTTATCGTCGTCTAGAAAATTTCTTTAAAATGAAAATATCGAAAATTTTTCAATAAAACTGACAAATAATAAACAACAAAAAGGAGACATTGAACTGTCCATTTCAGGCTTTAATAAGTTTTATGGAGTGTGAAGAGCTTCAAGGAAAATAATCTTCAAGGATGAGAATTATCACAAAATTAAGTGACATGAAGCGACATTGTTCTATGATGATAATAATAAATATTTAAAGATGAAGATGATGCTTGAAATAAAACAAAAAGTTATGTGTAGTGTGGGGATAAAGTAAAGTGAAATAAAGCTGTCGTAGATATCTGAAGCCTTGAGAAATTTATGCTAAATAGTTTCGACGCTTCACTGAGATATTTTGCAAAACTTTATGCCATCAAGCCTCTTATCTGATTACAGTCAGTCTCCTTCCGTATTTGTCCCGGAAGCTCCTTAAATATTTCTCTGTTCTTTTATTGTGTCATTAAATATCAGTGACACTTTGACAGTGTTTTAAACTTCAAGTGAATGAAATGATTCTTGGGAAAAAAAGAAATAAGAATGAATTTTAGATGTGAATGCTTCCAAAGGGATGATTTTACTTACAACTTTTTTTTATTTCTCTATCTAATTCTGTCAGCTTGACATTGTCAACAACGGCAGTAAGATTACCGAATTTTCCTTTGTCGTTGGCACACATCTTTTGTAATGTATGTAAACACATTCTTCGTAATCCATCACGCTCTGATAAAATGTGTTAAATTTTAATTTGATTCGAGATTTGGAATGAAAAATAAATGTTTGCAAGTTCAATATTTGTTTGGCTGAATTTTTATATTTCAAAGCGATAAATCTGAGGCTTTGTGTTGCTTCTTCACTCTATTACGCAAGGAAAACTTTCCTACTGAAGCTTGTTTTCAATTCCGATAAGATATTTTAATTAAAATTCGCTAGAGCTTTCATGAAACTTTCCAATGCTCAGTTTTAAATATGAAAAAGTTTTTAATTCAAAGTCAAATATCTACGAATTTTCAATTTACGATTGTTCATTGTGCATCATTATCTCAACACACAAACATTTCTCTTCCTATGACTAACAAAAATTGCAAATTATGATTGATGAAATTCATTCCAGCGTCGAATCTATTAGATGAAAATTCTATTAAAGCGGCGTATGGATGTGAAGTTATTGACGTTTAGTCGCTTTCGACGCCAATTTATGAAACAAAAGTCTCAATCGGAAAAATTGTACATTGCGTCTGTGTCTGACATTTGACGATAACTCAATTTTGCTGTATCAAATTCAGTGATTAGATTAGATTTTTCCTGGGTTATTTTCTTATATCAAATGCAGTGGGAAATTAATTCTTTCTTATTTTGAAGACAGATCGATGTCTTTGCTATAAAAGCTCATTCAGATTTAAATCAATTTCAAAGTTTTTCATTTCAATAAAATTAATTTTCATATTAAAATGTTATTGAATCGCTTTCTCTTCTTTCTATTTATAACATTTATTTATTAATCAAAATTTCCACTACAACATGTCATCACGTTTCACCCATAAACATTTTCTATCACATCTCAAACAGACACATCGATCGACATTAAAGCTCCACATTCTTTCGCCATAAATTCATGTTGTTTATGAACACATCAGAAATTGATTTTCCATTCCGACCTGTCGTTTTGGATGATGAACACTGAACACAGTAAACGATAAGAACTTGCTTGTGCTTACAACATGTGTACAACAGCAAAAAATATTCAGCTATTTAGAAATATTATTGCATCATTTCAGTTTACTTAGACATGACGATTATTCAAATATTTTTTCTACTTAATACCTTTAAACTTTGTCTGCAAATCTTTACAAAAAAAAAGGAAAGAAACTCATTTAGCATTTTCATGTCAGGAATTCAGGATTGACGAAGGAAATAGGGGAAAAAATGATGATTTGCTTATTTTGTATTTACGATTACGCAACAGCCAATCAGTTTTCACATACACATAAATCAGCTATATCATCAACATTCATGTCTGCTGTCTCTAAAGCTGGCAGCAGTTCGTTATCACTTATCGTTACAGTTATTGACGGAACTAAATTACCATGTAAGATGTGTTCGTTACACATGTTCCTACAACGCTCGAAGTAACAGAATTCACAGAAAGCTCCAAGGCGGAAAAGTGTTTGATTGCCTGTTGGAGTTTCACAAAAAGAAAACTGTCGAGTAGCGTGATGGGTCTCAGGATGAAACATCAAAATTTCCATTTGAAAACATTTTACAACTTATTTATTTTGAGAACGTAAGTAAATGAAAGGTGGCACTTAATAAAGCTGTTTATCGGTTTTATTTATTCTCCTTAACAAATCACCTTTTTCCGTTGATTTGATAAACTCTTCAACCTTTTCTTTCAACGATCTCAAATGAAGCTTTGTAAATTGACTCAACTCTGGTTTAATTTAGAGACTTTTTTTCACTGTATTCCTTGTCGACCTTTGCTCTATGGCAGTCTTAATGAACAAACTTTTCGTTTGGAAAGAAAGAAAAAAAGTTAAGTTGAAAAAAATAGCCGAAAGGCATCGTTCGCAAGCAAAGTTAGCGCGGCTAAGAGATGAGAGTTTAATGAAAACGAATTAAGGTCGGGTAGGAGTAGAAAAAAAAGTTCTGTAGACAACAATGGATCTTTAATGAACCCTCACTCGAGTTTTACTGCCGTCTTACATTTTTATTTACTTCTTTTTTTTTATTCTCATTAAATATCCCAAATGTCTGATATTTCTTTTTTCTATGTTTTCGTCTTGCAAATTATGAATCAATTTCCGCACCTTCTCTAATGCATCCGTTATTTTGGATCGTAATTACCTGCTTGCACTCTCAGCATCTTAAAAAGATATAAATAATTAAGCGCTTTTTCATTTCAATCTTTTTTAGAAGAAAATTACATTTGGATGATCTTAGCATGAAATTTCAATCTCAAGATTAGATTTTTTTTATTATGAATGCAGTTTCTACACATAAGATAACATTAGATAGTCAGATAGAATAAGTAAGCGAGGAAACTTTAAGAAGTCTCTTTGTGCACGACATTCTCAAATAAGAACAGGTTAAAATAAGATTATAAATCCTTCAAGTTGCGCTTCCATTAATCTAATGCTTCATGCATCTTTTTAAAACCACTTCCTTTTTGCGTTCACTTCCAGCAACATAAGATGATGATGTGAATCAAAAGTACGTGTGTGTGTGTCTCCCTTTTCATATCTTTATAAAGTTTTGCAAGAGACAGGAGTGGATAATGGATAAATGCATTCGCTGAAATGAATTCATGAGATGGAAAATCTCATTTTTCTACTAAAGATAAAGTTGTGTGGTGCAGACACCAAAACTATAGTGAAAAGTGATCCATTCCAAACTCACCTTCATAAAAAAGAATTCACATGATCTACCGTAAAGGAAGAAAAAGAAATGAGACGGAATTTCACCGTCAGAAAAGCATCACTCATACATCTCATACTTTCTTCATCTCTCCTCCCTTTCAAACACAGAAACACAAAAATATCTTTTCGCAACTTTCTACCTGCCGGAGTAGAAAACTGAATGGAAATTTCATTCAGCGAATGTGGATTTGGAGCATGAAATTTCAAACAATATTAAAGTTGAAATATGAATTCTTTTTTTTTCTCTTCTATTATTACTTTACTCGTTTTCATTCCTACATTATTATGTTGCTAGGTGGAAGGAAAATCCTCTTTACAACAACAACAGATTCTTCATCTCGTCTCGATGTATCAAGCATGAAAGTAGAAACAGAAAATAATGTGATTTTGGTAAATATGACATAATCTGCCTTTAATGGAAATCATATTTTGTCTCCTTTGCGTTGTATCGGGTCTGTCATGTATGCTTGGACGATGTGATGATTAATTCAAAGCCTTCTTGTCATGTCCTTTAAGCTTCACTGTGTTTACTTTACTTAGATGGACAGAATGGAAAGGCATGGACAGCTTACATACGTACTTCAAATTTGTTTTAAAATATTAACAAAAGCACAAAAATGTGAGGAAATTTTTAGGAATTTCACTTTTGACATCAGATGTTCTGTTTTGGTACTGAAGAATTTCTTAATTCAATAGCTTGCATTATTGTTTTGATTAATGTTCAATTAGATATTCCATAAGGTTAATGACAGAATCATTGATGAGTTGCTAAGGAAACTCTTTGATGTAAACATTTCTCTTTGTCAGCATAAATTCATCTTATGACACTTTAAAGTAACTTTGAACTTTGTTTAAAATTTTTATTGCTTTTTTTGAATATATTGTCGGGATTTCTCTTTCTGGGACGCTTTTCATTAATTTTTATGAGTTTGTTAGACTACATGTGATGCTGATGATGATTTATAAGATTACTATAAAGACGACATGATGTTATTGCTGTCATAGAAGCCTTCAAAAAGTTTCACTTAGTGTGAGTGCAACTTAATTTTTGTCATTGCAATGAAAAATTGAGAAGTGATGAAAAGAACAAAACTTTCTTGCTTTTTATTGCACATAAATGAAAGATAAAAGAAAACTGAAGGAAAAAGAAAAAAAAATGATGAATCCCATTAAAAAATCTCGTTAAAATTCTTTCTCTTTGTGCTTCAAGTTTCAAGTAGAAAATAAATCTGACATATGCTTTAAATCATTTTCCCTGTTTGTAGAGTCGTCTTTTCTATGATCATGAATTTAAATCAATCTTAAAGTAGAAGCTTTTGAGAGTAGAAGCATAAGTAATGTTTAGTTTTGTCTATGATTTCATATTGTAATTATTGTAGTGGAAAATGAATTAACTATCTACAATTCAATGAGATTGTTCATGTTCATTTGGTTTAATTTTGTACATATATGTAAACCTTAGATTAAATTTGAAATGCTACCATAACTGTAATAAAATTTTTCTATTCTAAGAATCGTTCTGTTTGTTATTGCTTAAAAATCACACAAAATAGATTCAGTTTGAATGAGATAAAACCGAATCCATAAAAATAAATTTCACATGATGTAATGAAGACCTCATTGGAATGGCAAGAAAATCAGGTAAAGCATGAAACTACAGCCGACAAATGAAGACTTGCACAGAATGAGTTTTCTATTAAAGCTTGAATTTATTCATGCTGGAAAATCTAGCTTTGGAGAAAAACCATAAAGCTCAAAACAATCCGGAACAAAAAAATCATTTGTGATAACAGGAAAGTTTTTCTTTCATCTTTTTCTTTCCATTCCCATCGATTTCCCTCTGAACTTTGGCTTTCGTTGAAGCCGAGAGGTGGGTGAAAGTTTCCAAGCATTCAAACGAGCATAAAAATCTCAATGCTTAGCTCTGAAAATTTGTTTATGTCTCTGTGCCGGCTTAAAGGAAGAAAGAAAAACAGCGAACCGACTAATTTAAATAAAGAGTTATTGGAAAAACCACGAAAATCTTAAAAAATATTTGTAAGAAATTGTGAGGGTGGATGAAAAACGATTTTCTATTCTTTTCTTTTATGCCTGTTTCTTTACGTTTCTTTCTCAAATCGTTTGATTTTATATTCAATGCATAAAAGCGTTCTAATTCATGAAAATATATTTGATGCTTAATCGAAAATCCCGACTGCGATTTAGCGCGGAGCAAGCACAAAAATCAGAATGTCAATGTTAGCGCTAAAAACTTCGATCGATGCGAAGTAGAATTTCATTCAACATAATGCTTATGGCATTTGTTCCAAAAATCTAAGCGAAGAGACCGTGATCTAATTTAATTTTATGTCGTGGGGATCAAAGGAACAACTTTGAATGTCCCGAGAGTCAAGTCAGCGACAGAAAAGCGACGTTACATTAAGTAAAACAACCTGAACAAATCTGAGACTTAAGCGACGCTTAAAATATTTAAATGAATTTTAAGGGAAAAAGAAAACATTAATTTAATGCATTCAAGAGACTAAAGATTTAAAAAGCTTGCTTTTTGTTTGTACTTATTTAAGTCTCCCAGGTAATAAACTTTTGCTTTGAGTCCTGAAATCTTATTCTCTAATTTGAAATCTTAAGTTAATCAAAGATGGAGAATTTCGTAAAACAACAAAGCTGATAAACAAAACCTTTTAATAAAGTTCAGCAAACAAAACCCGTGAGATATTAGATTCTTAACTGACATAAAGACCCTTCGTTCTTTGTTACTTTGAAGCGTCTTCGAAACATCAAAAGAACGAGAATGATGATGTCATTTGATACTTAAGATGGAATACTCTGAAGTCGCATGAGTAATATGAGCATCAAAGTTTCACCTTTCATCACCCGAAGCATGATGAGCTTTAATCTTACAAAGCTTTTCGTCCCACTCTCCAACATTTACAAGCAAAATCTCACTTATCAATCTGGAAAGCATTTCTAAATATTTAAATTAAAATATTGTCTTATTTAAGCCACAATACATAAACAAAAACAAAAAAAGTCGACAGACAACGTTCAAAACTATTTGCCCTAATGTCATAAAATAGAAAACTTTTGACACCCAGACGACTAAAGCTTTAAACCGAAACTTTTCTCATTCTGTCTAATCTTTCTCTCCACACTGATATTTCTCCAACGTCGGATGAATTTTTCTTCTATCCAATTTTCCTAATCAGAGGAACATTTGTATGCATTAAGAACAATCTGCTTCTTGTTCAACACGAAGCATTCTTTTTCGCCTTTTCTCGTTTACAAGTTTGGCTCTGAGTGAGGTTGAAGGAAATTCAAAAATATGCAAGACTCTTGATTTCTTTTAATTTTTTAAGTCACCGGCTTCTCCTATTTCAATTTTCTGCCTTGACTTGAACACTGTTCTTTATGATTTGAGCACGTTCTACCTCTAAAGTCGAGTTCAATCGTCCATAGAAATATTTTTGAAAGAAATCGATGGAGAAAGGCTAAATGTAAAGGCAGATGGCGGAGAAGGCAATAAAAAGATATCGAAAGGAAAATTTAGATGTAGGTTAAATTGATGGTATAAAATATTCACTTCAATCGGATCATGTTGGATTAAAGTTAAAGCAAAAAAAAACTATTGTTAAATGATGTTTCGAAGCTTTACAAAAAAAAAGAATAAGAAATGAGATTGCAGTTGAAATATCAAAAAGTTTCTTGAAAGAACGTGCATTTGAAACTTTTGAAGTTAATTAAAGAAAATTTTACGTTTTTGGTTGAATATTCTTAATTTTCTTAAAGATTTCTCTTGAAAGCTTAAGTAGTTAACTTTTCGCTCTAAGAAAAGTTCTTGCGATTAAACGTTGGTATTCCTGAAACGAAAACGTAAATAAGTACCTAGAAAAAAAGTTTAACATCAATTGACAACTTTTTCATGTTAAATTACTGGTTTATTGAAGCAAACAAGCAAGCAGCATGTTGCTGCAGTGCTCAACATAAAAAATTGAAGCACTCGTCGTCTTATGTGCTGGATTGTGGTCAACTAATTAGAAGTTGAATTCGAAATTTCTCTTTTCTTCATATGCTTTTATTTTCTTTCTTTCTCTTTTCTGCTTTCGACGATGTCAATGAGAAAACATTTTCAGTTTTCGAGAAGACGAAGTTTTTCTACCATTATTTTCATTTCTTTTCAAGTAAAATGAACATGATGCAGACACGAGAATGGAAAATAAGGGCAAAGAAATATCCACATAAATTGATGTAATTCGACAGAAAATTGACTCGATATCTTCTATTTCGTACGGTCAGTTTCATTGCCGTTGCTTCATGCTCGCTTTGTTTAGTTTCCCATTGTTCAAGGCTTCGTCTGTATGGCCGTTGTCGTTCTTTGTGTCCTATCCTTAACGGAAAGTGAACAGCGATTCATTGAGATTCATAAAAGGACGAGTGGTCAAATATCCATTATTGAAATTGGCTTTTCAGTCGCCTCGTGTTTGTTCGAGAAATCATTTTTTCCTTTTTTTTTCTTCTCTTTACCTGAATCTTTAGATGACAGATATAAAATACAAAATAATGGACATTACAATTCTCGTTCATTTTTATGACATTTGATCTATTTATGTTTCTGTTTATTGTGGTTGAAGTACAAGTTAATTCAATAAAAATAAATAAAAATGTTGTAAGTAATTCAACTGAATCTGACAACCTAAACATTCTTTTGCTTTAATTAAAATTTTATCCTCTTAAACATTCTTTCTCAAAAATATTTTCTGACTAACAAAATCTTTAATAAATGTAAAAAAATGGAAATTATTCAATTTAAATCAGAACATTTTAATATAAACGACTTAGAAATATTTTATTTTAATCATTGATGCTAATAAATCAAATGAAAAGGAATTACTCATAATTTCGAATTGGCTAATTGGTGGTGGAAATGTTTGAAATTTACTTATTATGCGAGGGAGGTTTCAACAATGATTTTAGTATTCATTAGGAGAAAGAAATTAGTCATGCTTAACCCACACTTACTGAAGTTAATTTTACTGTTTATCTGATACACCTACGCAATTTCTCAAACCTTGAAGCTTTGCATAATTAGACGATTTATCAAGTCAATTTTATGCCTCGTTTGCTTATTAAATGAGTAGAATTTCTGTATTGTGCGACGTAATCTTAGATATTTATCAGATTTCGATGCTTAAATGTGAATGAACTGGTAGCCTTTGTTAATTACGACGAAGTGGTTAAGTCTCAACATTGATTATTAATTATTAAAGAAAAATTGATAAACAATGATTTATCTGGGTCAATGATAAAAATAGTTCCACTAGTCCTAACTTTCTTGTGTTTACTTCAACAGAATATTAAATTGGTATTAATCAATCCAGTAATTGATTTGATTTAATATTTAAAGCCAATACTTCAAAATCTTTTGATTGCTTCATATTTAATTTAAAGATTTTCAATATTTACTCATAATACTTGTTTTATCAATAACAAATTGAATAATTAATGTTTAATTATTCTGAATAAAGTATAACAATTTGTCAGGACTAAGAATGATTTCATTTTTCGGTGATTTCATAAACGACCAATACATCAAGAAATTACTTTACATTGAAAAATTGGGTGGGAGCGAGAAATTTATTCATCAATTAGTTGCAGAATTCTATCTATTCAATATATAGATAATTGAAAATTCTGAATATTTAATTAAATATAAATCTGATTTCAGAATATTTATCATCACAACTATTTGATCAACATTGAGATATCCGTAGTTAAGCAATTATAAAAATATTTTTTAATTAAGCCTATCTGAACGGTTAAAAATAAAATGAACAGGGAAGTAATTTAAGGCCATCATTTTTGCTAGATTTATGTTTATTTCTATCTCATTATAATTTCTGATGTTGATTTTTGAGAGAAATTTATGCTTAAGATTTTGTTCAATGTTGAAAAGTCAAAGCAGTTGCATAACTTGAAGGAGTTCAAATAACAATTGCATAACTTTAAGGCGTCTAACAAACGAAATTTTCAAAAAATGTTAAAAATTTTAATCTTTCCAGCTAACCACTGACGGTCATAAATATTCTGAATATAATTTAAGCTTTTTCAATTTCAATCAGTCTTAAATTTCAGAAATAGTTAAAAAAGTTATTTTTAATTAAGTTTCAATATTTTTATTTTCTAACGAAACTTCCGTTTGGAAATGAATTTCAATTTTAATTTCATGGAAATTTTTTAATTTTTTTCTTTTGAAAGTTGAAAATGATTAATTTTAGTATTCATGAGAAAATAAATGAAGAATAGCTCTTCAATATTAAACCAAAAGGTTTTTGATATTGAACGATTTTTGAAATTTCGATGAACTTGAGAAGAGAGGAATATTTTTTTCCACGAATAAATTATTCCGCGAC